ATACAGATTGAATGAGTATAGTACAAGAACACAACCCTGACGCACACCTTTCCTGATTTTAAACCTTGTAGTGTTCTCCTTGTTATGTCCGAAAGTCTGCATCCTAATCTATGTATCTATCAGGCATGACAATGAACTTGCTGAAATTCCCATTCTTTTTTTTTTAAGTTTTTATTGTGAATTATGTGATAGTTTACATGGGAGAACATTAGCTTTATATTCATCCTATCATATTTCATTTCACTGCAATGATTACAGTCCCCTCCATGAATCATCAAACAACAAAAGGGTACATATACCCCACAAGCCTGTCCTCTGGCTGTCAGCACACAGATCCCCTCCCTCCCTGAGTCCAGAGTCCCCAGCTTCTCCATCCTCCACGTCATTGTCTCTGCCTCCATCTCTGGCCATCACTGCTTCTCTGGATAGGGTCCTGCACTTTGCTCTTCTCCCTTGATGGTCCCAGGGACCTCAATTCCTGGACTGCAAAATCAACTACTCCCCTCCTTTTGTTACAAAATGTCTACCTTTACATTTCCAACACTCACAGTCAGTCTTGATAGCAATTATTCACTATTGAACCACAAGAGTCTTATCCCCATTTCCTTTTATCAGTCCCGTCCAGACAGGTTAGAAACCACTCAGCGGAGATTCTACCTTCCCCCGCACACTCTAGTCCCATTCTTTTTTTAAAAAAAAACAAAAACTTTTTATTATGGAGGTTTACAGACAAGATCATCAAGTTTACATTTAACAAATCATACACTTTGTTTCACCTCAGTGACTGGATAACAACATTATCCTGTTTCCTCCCTGGGATTCCTATTTGCATGCCACCATCTACCCATCCTTTCTTAACTTTGTCCTTAGGAAAATGTTGCCCTTTTGATTTTGAATGATTGGCCATTCCATGGTGAGTATACCTTACTAGTGTTGTTGTCCCTCACCCCATATACTTATCTACTGCTTATCTGAAAATTGGGCCACTAGGGTGAGTTCCTTCCCAGATCTAAGTAAGAGACTCAGATTCCTCCAGTCTTTTTCTGATCAGTAAACGTGGTCTTTCTTTTTTTTGGTATATAATTTTGAATTTTGAATTGCTCCACATTTTCTCTCCCTCTATCCAGAACCCTCTAATGTGATCCCTTTCAGAGCAGTTGGTAGTTGGGTACTGTCTAGTTCTGGTCTCAGAGTTGTGGAGACTGATGTTCACATGGTCCACTAGTCCATGAGACCACTTGATGGAATTCCCATTCTTCACAATGTTAAGCAAAGTTTGCTATAACCCACACAATCAGATGCCTTGTATAACTAATGCAACACAGGTAAACATCCTTCTGGTATTCTCTGCTTTCAGCCAAGATCCAGGTGATATCAACAGGGATACTCCTCATTCCACACTCTCTTCTGAATCCGGCTTGAATTTCTGTACTACAACCACTTAAAAATTACTTTCAGCAAATTTTACTTGCATGTGATAATAATGATATTTTTCAATGATCTCTGCATTCTGTTGGTTACCTCTCTTTGGAGGGCACAAATACTGATCTCTTCCAGTCAGTTAGCCAAGTACCTGTCTTCCAAATTTCTTGGAATACAGTAGTGAGTGCGATCAGTCCTGCATCAGTTTGTTGGACATTTCAGTTGGTATTTCGTCAATTCCTGGAGTCTTGTTTTTCTTCAATGCCTTCAGTGCAGCTTGGACTTCTTCCTTCAGTACCACTGGTTGTTGATTATATACTCCTTCTTGAAATGAATTAACACTGACCAATTCTTTTTGGTACAGTGACTCTGTGTTCTGTCTATCTTCTTTTCTTGCTTCCTGTATTGTTCAGTATTTTCCCCATAGAATCCTTCACTATTACAACACAAGGCTTGAATGTTTTCTTCAGCTATTTCAGCTTGAGAAATACTGAGTGTGTTTTCCCCTTTTCATTTTCTAACTCCAGGTCTCTGCACATTCCATAGGATAAAGTGTCTTGTTGAGCAGCTGCCCTTTGAAATTTTGTTTAGCTCTTTCACGTCATCATTTCTTCTAGTCACTTTAGCTTCTTAATGTTCAAGAGGAAATTTCAGTTTCTTCTGACATCCATTTTGGTCTTTTCTTTTTTTTCCCCTGTCTTTTTAATGATATTTTCCCTGCTTTTCTACTAGGGTGAGTACGTAGGGAGGAAAATTTTTACTTTGAATTTTGGATTGTTCTTTATAGTCTGAGGTTTCTCATGCATAGACATTTCTTTAAGGTTACTGAGTTTGATTTCTTTGATGGACTGGTGACAGCAGTTTCCCACATTCCTTCCTGAGTGTGCGTGGTGACTTGCCTCTGTCATCCTGATACACGATGGAGGATCCACCCAGAGATGCCTTGAAAGAAAGGCTTGTTGATCTACTTTTGAAAAATTAGTCACTGAAAACCCAATGAAGCCCAGCTCTACTCTGACACACATGAGGTTGCCATGAGTCCAGTCAGACTCTACTGCAACGGATTTAACTCATTAATTCCTCTCTATAGTCTCCCAGCTCAGTCCCTGGGTTGCACTTCCATCATTTGTTAATTAAACATGAAGACTTTCCCAGCAATAACATGTTTATTGTAAGAATTTAAAAAGGAATTGGATTTTTTTTTAATGTGTCCTATTAAACACTAAACAGGATCACTGTGGGTTGGAATCGACTCACAGCACTTAACAACAACAACAATTAAACACTAATTCCAGGAGATGCTTCTGAAAAAGAACTATAGCTGGCTCTATAAAAATTAATGAAATGCAATTGACTTGGTCACCTTACATGATTATGTTCTATATTTAGACATTACACAGGCACTTTTGTGTAACTTTCAGGAAAATGAGAATATTAGCTGTCTGTGTTAGCGGACAAAAGGCATTCATAATCAAAAGCATTTAGGACTCGCTGGACTAAACAAAGCTAAGCAGATTTTTCTAACTGTGGGACTCAATCAGGCATCTAATATGTTACCGTTTGCTGTGAAATCAGGAGGGAAGTGAAGCACAACTTGGACTTTTTGTTGTTGTTGTTGTTCTGAATATGTCATAGGACAGGAGTCCTGGTGGCACTGTAGGATAAGCACTGGACTGCTAACAACAAGGTCACTGGTTCAACCCACCAGCTGCGCCGAGAGAAAATGATGAAGTTGCCTACTCCCCTGAAGATTTCCAGTCCTGGAGACCCGACAGAGGGTTGCTATGAGTGAGAATCAACTCAATGGCAGTAGGTTGTTTCATGTGATGTAGTGCCCTAAGAAACGTGCTTGGAGGAGATGTTTACATATTAACTTAGTATTGATTCCTTTCATGTAATTGAAGGGCTCTAATCTTTTCTCTGGAGTCCTGGTGTGGCGCTGTGGGTTAATGCGCCAGACTGCAAAGCCGTTTGAACTGCAAGGTTGGTAGTTCAAGCTCACCAGCTGCTCCTCGGAAACCCTATACAGGGTCGCTATGGGTCGGAATCGACTCGACGGCACTTAACAACAACAACAATCTTTTCTCTGGAGTCCTGGCGTGGTGCTGTGGGTTACTGCACTGGACTGCAAAGTCAGTTTGAACCACAAGGTCGACGATTCAAGCTCACCAGCTGCTCCTTGGAAACCCTATTCAGGGTCGTGATGGGTAGGAACCGACTTGATAGCACTTAACAAGAACAACAGCAACACTCTTTTCTCTGACCCTAAAGAAGACACCCAAAGCTGCCATCACCCCATCCTCTCCTTTTGTTACATCCAGTTGCACATAGAGAAAGGTGGCATAAAAGGCACAATGTTGGTATTCAGAAGCCGGGACTGTACCTTATAGTCCAAACCATCAGAGCAGTTAAAGACCACACACTGGATGGCAAGAGCTTTTGCGAGGTCTTTGGTAGTCTCAGTTTTCCCAGTGCCAGCAGGACCAGCTGGGGCGCCCCCCAGGTCAAGCTGCAAAGCCCCCATGAGGCAAAGGTAGCAGCGATCCTGAAGAAATGGAAAATTGTCATTATTGAAGGGAACCAACAACTCTAGGCATACTTCATGAGTCCTTTCCTTTGGGGTGAGGGTGGGGGTGGGGACTGCCTTCCATGATAGGTTTTATAGAACGTTGAAAGGTACCCTCAGATCCACACACATAGTCAAATAGTGCAAATCTCTGCTTCACGGAGATAAATACATGGCAAATCACTTCATGAGTAAAGGCTAGAGAATTTTTTTTAAAGACTTATGTTGGTAGAAAAGGCACTTTTGCTTCGGTCACTTACTGTGAGGGGAGTAATAACTAATCTTGGGCATGCGCCTAAATATTCGTAGCCGTATGTGTACTGCGAGAGCGCCATTCGAGCCACACAATTATCCAAGTCTATGTCCCAGTAATAGCGCAGTTGTCGTTGCCAGTCGAAGGATTCAACGCCATCTATCTACAAAAGAGATGTCAACGGTACACACATGAGAGACAGCAGTTTCAGAAAGAAACGTATGATTTTATCAGTGGAACAGTTACCTGCACTTCAACAAGTTCAGTGACGATGTCTCTTGCATGTACATCAATAGTAATTAGGGCAGTTATGATGTTTCTGTGTAATTTAGGAAGACTTCCTCGAACTAATGCAGCCAGGGCATTTAATCGCTACAAAGAAAAAGAAACAGTCATGATGAATTTTCAAATATCAACATTTACAAGTTTCCAAGACTGTTAATCTTTACGGTAGCAGACAGCCTCTTCTTTCTCCCACAGTGAGTTTGAACCACCAACCTTGCTGCTAGCAGTCCAATACTTATCCCACATGGCCACCAGGGCTCCAATATCTAGAATTAAATTTGGAGTGAATACCTGCTAAAACCAACTGTATTTAAGCATCTCCAATTCACTAGACATGTCACTAAATAAGACAAGAGTTTACCTTATTTAACTCTCAAAACACTTACGTGGGGTTCACACATTCATTACCCACATTTTACAAACTAGAAAACTGACTGAGAAGGGAAACAGCCGGATGGCTGTGACGCAGCTACGAAGTGGCAGAAATGAGGCTTAAATGCATGTTTGCCTCTAGGAAAGCCCTTGTATTTAATCAGTTAATGAAGATATTTCTAGAGGCTGCTCTCTCAAAATGAAATGTGAGCAAAGGTGGTTACTCTTTGTTTTCAGGTATAGGTTTTGCAAAAAAAAAAAAAAAACCTGGGAAACCTGAACACTGTCATCAAGCCAATGCTTGATTCAAGGAAAATATTTTGCTCCTAATTTTCACCTCAATAGTGAAAATGGTGCCAGCTGAGCACATCGTGCTGCTGTGCCAAACATTCACTGACCAAGTCTTTAACAGAGACTACTGCTACAAACAAGTGGATGGAACTTCCTGCAGGAACCTTCTCCCTTGCCTAGGGCTCTCTGAGATGAAATCCCATTGAAGACTTAAAGGAGAGAATTTCCTGATTCCAACAAAGACATTTTCTCCTTCTCTTTTTGTTTTAGGAGCGAGTCTTTTAAAAGGCACTATTATTTGGAAGTAGCTTTGAATTGGCCCAGCTGTAAAACAGCACTTTCCAGACCCCAAATGGTATTTAGGTTCATTCAGTTAATTATTTAATATTAGTTGCCTGAGGGTTCTATAAAATAGCAGAAAAGCATATCTTGAGTCTAGAAATAGCACAAATCCTGGTTTTCCTGGATGGAATGCCTTTTTACAGTTGTTATGCAGAGCCTAGTAAATACGATTTCTCCTTAAAAGTTGCAAATCATTATGACCCTGATAATTTCCTCATGAATTGTTTTATTCCTCCTATTTTAAAAATTATTCTCTTCAATACAACACAAGCACCAGTTGTTCCTAAGAAAACTTGAACATAAACGGTTTTAGTTGAGAAGTCCAAAGCACACTTGTTATTGCTGTTAAGTGCTATCAAGTTGGTTTCAACTCACAGCGACCCTGTATAAGGTTTCTGAGGAGCGACTGGTGGATGTGAACCACTGACACTGCAGTTAGCAGTACAGTGCTTATCCTAACAGTGCCATGCCAGGACTCTCCATTAGCCATTGCTGTTGTTGTTGAATGCTGCTGAGTCATTGTTGAGTGTTTTCTGTACCCTGTATAGGGCTTTGGAGGAGTGGCTGGTGGATTTGATCAGCCCTCCTTATGATTAGCACTCCAGTGCTTATCCTACAATGCCACACCAGCATGCCGGAGCAAAAGAATTCCAGAAATAAAAGGAATTTGCGTTCCCATGCTAATACACACAGCTGAGACGATCCTACACAGCAATATGTTCGCTGCTGCTCTGTTAATAATCTCACCTCAAAGTTTACTTTTTCAAAAGCTTCCAGGGCTACTTGGCAATTGCCGCCTTCTGGTTCTAAACACGTAGTCAGATCACGACACCACATGATCTGAGAAATGGTCAGGATGACCTGTAAGAAAACATTTTTCCTAAGTGTGTGATGCTGCTCACCAGAAGAGCATTCAGAGAGGGAAACAGGAGGAGTCTAAGTTACTTGAGAAGGGTGACCAGCAATCACCCATTCCGTCCGCAGCTTCCCCTGGTAGTCAGCAATGGCAGCTTTGCACAGGCGACGCAAGGATGAGAACATGGCTTCTTCCACTTTACCGAGCCATTCCTCCACATTGCCTCGGGCCTTGAGGCCTTTTCCCAAGCTAACCTAGGAGATAACAAGGAAATGTGAAAATGTCTACTACGGCAACTTGTAGACTGTGCATCCCTTGTATTTCTGTAGCAGAACCCTAAGCTACGTAAATACTGAAGTCCGAACAATAGTACTGAAAATATCCCACTTAAAGTTGCTGTGAAGTTTGGCTGCTAACCAAAATGTGGGCAGCTCAAACCCACTAGCTGCTCCACAAGAGAGAGATGGGGTTTTCTGCAACTGTGAACCTTTAGTCTCGGAAGCACAGTTCTACTCTGCCCTATAGGTTTGCTATGAGTCACAACTGACAGTTTTAGGGTCGCTATGAGATGAAATCGACTCCAGGGAAATGAGTTTTAAATATATTTTTGTTGTTGTTGTTGTGTGCCCTCAAATGGGTTCCGACTCTTGTATAAAGTTTATAAGAGTGACTAGTAGGTTTGAATTTCCAACCTTGTGGTTTGTTAAGTCCACTGCTGATCCTATAGCACCACACTAGGAGTGACTGGTGGGTTTGAACTGCCAACCTTGTGGTTAGGGTTGTTGTTGTTGTTAAGTACCGTGGAGTCGGTTCCGACTAATAGTGACCCTGTACAGGGTTTCCGAGGCTGCACATCTTTACGGGAGCAGAAAGCCTCATCTTTATCTCACGGAACAGCTGGTAGTTTCGAACTGCTGACCTTGAGGTTAGCAGTCCGATTCGTAACCTATATGCTACCAGAGCTCCTTTGTGGGTAGGGTATACATATATATATTGACCCCACTGTGTATGTGTGTCTCCCTCTGCCATCTCTACTTCTTTATTTTTACTGCTCCCTTTTGGAGCTAACCTCCCTTTTTAGTCCTCATATTTGGTTCTCCGATTTCCAGTAACCAGATTTTCCTACTTGTCTTGGTCTCCATTATTTTTCTTCTATTCTTACTTTCAATTTCCCATTTCTTCAAGACTCTGGCCTTGATTCTCTCTCCTTTCTCCTGTACCAGTGATGAGTAAACTCTTATGCAAGAGGATGAATTCAGGAAAAATAAAATGTGTACAATCACCTGTTACTCACACATACACACCCTGGATGGGACTCCTTGGCATGTCCCTGCACAGTTTCTCTGTCTGGCATGTCCTTTCCTCCCATGTCCACATGGCAAATACTCCTCTCCTTCTTACTCAGCTCCCTGTGTGTGTGTGTGACTCTCTGATATGTCACTTAGTTCCCCACAGTCTACTAATGCTGACACCAGCCCTATCTGGGATATGCCACTGTCGCTGATGTTAACTAACACCTACTAGTGCTCACTGCACACTGTGTTATGTAATTTATATAAGATGGAAGGAATATACAGTCATGGTTCCAAAAACAAATGGTTCATGTTCAACCATTTCAAGAGGAAGAATATGATCAAGAGCCAATGATACTGCAGGAAGAAGTTCAAATTGCACTGAGGCATTGGCAAAGAACAAGTCTCTGAGAATTGATGGAATACAAATTGAAATCTTTCAACAAACTGATGCAGCACTTGAAACACTCACTCATCTATGTCAAGAAATATGGAAGAAAGTGCCTGGCCAACTGATTGGAAGAGATCCATATTTAGGCCCATTCCATAACAGAGGTGACCCAACAGAATGCAGAAATCATCAGACAATTATCATTAATATCACATGCAAGTAAACATTTGCTAAAGATAAATAAAAAATGGCTGTAACAGTGTACTGACAGGGAATTTCCAGAGGTTCATGTCGGATTCAGACAAGGACGTGGAACGAGGGTTATCATTGTTGACATCAGATGGATCTTGGCTGAAAGCAGAGAATACCAGAAAGATGTTTACCTGTGTTTTATTAGCTATGCAAAAGCTTTTCCCTGTGGGGATCATGACAAGCTATGGACAACACTGCAGAGAATGAATATTCTGGAACACTTAATTGTGCTCATGAGGAACCTGTGCATAGATCAACAGGCAGTTCACATGGATTAAGGGAACACTGAATGGTTTAAAATTAGCAAAGGTGTGCATCAGGGTTATATTCTTTCACCATACTTATTCAATCTATATGCTGTGAAAATTGAGAAGCTGGATTATATGAAGAAAAATGTGGCATCAGGATTGGAGGAAGGTTCATTAACAAACAGCCTGTGATATGCAGATGATACAACTTTGCTTGCTAAAAGCGAAGAGGACTTAAACTACTTACTGATGAGGATCAAAGACCAAAGCTTTCCTTATGGGTTGCACTGCAATGTAAACAAAACAAAACAAAACAAAAAATCCTTACCACTGGACTAATAAATAACATCAAGATCAATGGAGAAAAGATTGAAATTGTCAGACTTCATATTGCTTAGATCAACCACCAACACTCATGGAAGCAGCAGTCAAGAAACCAAATAACGTAGTGCATTAGGCAAATTTGCTTCACAAGACCTCTTTAAAGTGTTCAAGAGCAAAGATGTTAGTTTGAGGACTAAGGTGTTCCTGGCCCAACCCATGGTATTTTCAATAACCTCATAATGCATGCGACAGTTGAAAAGTGAATAAGGAAAACCGCAGAGGAATTGATGCATTTGAGTTGTGGTGTTGGAAGAGAATATTGAAAGTACCATGGACTCCCAAAAGAACAAACAAATCTCAATGGGAAGAAGTACAGACAAAAATCAAGATGGCCAGACTTTGTGTCTCATACTTTGGATGTATTATCAGGAGGGACCAGTTTCTGGAGAAGGACATTGTGCTTGGTAAAGTGGAGTATGGGAGAGAGAGAGGAAAACCCTCAATGAGATGGATTGGCACAGTGGCAGCAGCAATGGGTTCAAACATATAGCAATAGGTTGGTGCAGAACGAGGCAGTGTTTCATTCTGTTGTGCATAGGGTCAGTATGAGTCAGTACTGACTTGAAAGCACTGAACAACAACATCAGCAGCTGAGCACTCCCCTAGTTCTATTAATCAGGTATTATTAATGCCCATTTTATAGATGAGATTAAAAGGTGGGTCTGGGACTTGGATCCAAGTATAAAACTAGTACCTTTAATCAGTTCGATATTATGCCTCATTACAGTACAACTTTATTCCGGTTTTCTCTATCTGTTCCCATGCACAGAGCACATGCCTCTGTCAGTACATTTTCTATGGTGCTTTGTAATTGTGTGTGTGATTGTTTCTCCACTAGACTGTGACGTCTTTGAGGGCAAATATTTAATCTTGATCATCGTTGAAACCCCTAAGCCATCAGAATAGTAGGTACACAGTAATATTTGGTGGATTCTTAGAGATAAGCCACTACCCCAACACCAAAAGAGGATACGCAAAAAGAATTATACGCAGAAACAACCTTACCCTTTCTCCCTCTGGTGACAGCATTGCTAAAATATCATTTGTATAAACTTTTTCTGGTTCTGCTTCAATACCAGGCATTTTTCCTTCCGTAGGAGGCAAAAGAGCAAATTCAAGCTTTGAGATGGAGTCAAAGCATTTTCTTAAATGCGGCTGCACAGCTTGGGGGTTTCGTGTCTGGGCCAAAATCTCCAGAAGTTCATCGTTTGACAAGAAGTAAAACCTGTATTAAAGAAATACTTAAAATTCAACTTGAAATTGAAACAAAGGCCTTGAATACACAAAAAATATAAATCCCTTCCCTATCCACAGGTTCCTGAACTTCCAGTCTTCAAGTCCGGGGTTTCTGGGAAGACAACATGTCTCTAAATATAAAGGTTAGTGATGCTACATCTCAAACATCTAGAGTTAGTGCCTGGTACATAAGAGAGAAGATTTTCAAAAAATAAAAAGTAAAACAATGTCAGCTCTTGCTAATATAATGATTTGTATATGTCTTCACTTAGTGTAATCTCCTAGAGTGAAGCCAAATTATTTGTTTTCCCTAAAAAATAGCTAAGTATCTTACACATAACTAATCTATTGACTAGATGGATGAAAGGATGGATGGATGATGGCTGGCTGGATGGGTGAGTGGATGACTATGGGAAATAGATAGGTTTGTGAATGTGCGTTGAGTGATCGTCCCAACCCAGATGCACACATTGTTCCCTGTAGTATATGCTACCGTGAAAAGAGGCAGAATACAATTTGGCCAACACACCTTTTCCAACTCTAAAACATTTCATCTTTGTAGAAATGAAACATTTCATATATAATTCAATATGAGTATCAGCAAGATGGCTAAAGGAAATTGTGAACTTACACAATACTATTTTGCTATAGATTGTTGTTGTTGTTAGGTGCCATTGAGTTGGTATCGACTCATAGCAACCCTATGCACAACAGAACGAAACACTGCCCGGTCCTGGGCCAACCTCACAATCGTTGCCACACTTGAGCCCATTGATGTTGCCATTTTGCCAATATTTCTCGCTGGGGGTCTTCCTCTTTTTCTCTACAACCCACAGACCAAATCCAGCTTGCTACGTATTTTTTACAAATGACATTTTGTTTTGCAGGTATGCTTGTTTGTTTACATGCCTCTGCTTCCATAAAGATTAACAGCCTCGGAAACTCTGTACAGGGTCGCTATGAGTCAGAACTGACTCCATGGCACATAACCACCACCACCACCACCACCTGTGCTACAGCAGCAGAGTTGATAGTTGCAACAGAGGCCATATGACCTGCAAGGGCTGAAAGATTTACTATCTGGTCCATTACTATTGTGTTAAAAAAAAACTGCTGACCTGTGCTCTAAAGAAAAATATTATTCTAAACGCAGTTATTATGAAAATAGTTTCTGTATTATATTTAATCACTCCAAGAAAATTTTATTATCTCTTCTGACCATTGTAACTCATTCTATGACTGTTTATGAGGGCTTTACAAATTGACTGTTGTCGTTAAGTGCTGTCAAGTTGGTTCCGATTGATAGCGACCGTGTGTAGGGTTTCTGAGGAGCAGTGGGTGGGTTTGAACTGCCGACTCTGTGGTTCAAACTGACCTTGCAGTCCAGTGCATTATCCTGCAGCACCATACCAAGACTCCTACAATTTAATATGGGGTTTCTTTAAAGAAAATTCTTCTAGTCAGTAAAATTATTTTTTTTTTAACCACCATACACATCATTTATAAATGCTCTTGTGTTTCAAAGGATTAAGTACACACACCAGTAGTTGGCAATGCCCTAGGTTGACAATCAGCAACTAGGTGATATCCCTGTGTCAGGGAAAAGCTAAAAGGACATTTCTTAGGATTCCTTTCTGGTATGGCTTTGCATCAGATTCCACCTGTGAGAGTTTCTTCCGTGAGATTGAGAAGGTGGAGCCGGAGGAGAAGGGACTGTTTTCCTTTGGCAGCTGTGGTCAGTCACAGGGTGCTGACATACTGAAGAGACTTGGTTTTGTCTTAGTGCTCATGTGCCCTCCTGAGAAGCACCTCCCTTGTTATTGCAGGCAGCTGAGACTCATGATGGCGGATCCTCTGAGATCACCTCTAATTCCCCCTATGAAATCCCTTCTCTAAATACCTAGGGTGACTTCTCTGTTCCTGACTAAACCTTTCCCAAGAATGTAACCCCATGTTAAAATGGTAACTATTTTTGTCTCAGCTTTGGCTGAAGGTCTAGGACCAGAGTTTCCAACCGCTCTCACATTTCAAAACAAGATAATACCAGGCTGTCTGGGACCAACTTGCAAGGAGATGGGTGAGGAAAGGCAGGGGACTGCAGATGGGTTTTGTTTTTGTTTTTTACTAAGCACTCTCCGTATCCCCACAAGGAGAGGGGTGGATGGCACTTTCTCCCCACCCAAGCCTAGACAACAGGCTCCAGGGAGGCAACATGGAAGAGTCTGGAGTATGTCCTTCTGGAAACAAAACTAAACAAACCAGTTGCTGTCGATTCAATGTCAACTTGTCGCAAGGCTGACTATCTCAGAGTGGACCTATGCTGAAGGGTTTTCCCTGGCTGTGATCTTTCAGGAGTAGACCATCAGGCCTTTCTTCAAAGACACCTCTGTTGTTGTCAAATGCTGTCTAATTGGTTGTGACTCATAGCAACACTGTATAGTGTTTCCAAGGGGCAGCTGGCGAACTTAAACTGCCAACTGGGGTTAGCAGTTCAGTGCTATTCCTACAGTGGCCACACCAGGACATCTCTGGATGGATTCAAATAGCCAAACTTTTAGTTAGCTGCTGAGTGGGATATTGTTGCACCATGCAGGAATTCTATGTCCCTGAGGTGGGAGGAATTTAGTCCAGGATCAAAAAGATCAGGTTGAAGCTTGAGCTGTCTCAATAAAGAGGCTGCATTTGTGGAGTGACTAAGCTCCACCAATAGCACGTAAGCGATTTCTGTGGCGCAGATAGGGGCCATATGCAACTTACTCTGCTTGGGGCTTTCTTAGATCCTGCCCAACAAGATGATTTGGAGGTGTAAAGAGACTTAAAAAAAATAATTCAGAAGGGGACACACTTGGATACCCAGGGTGGAGGGAGAGACTGTATGGTCCTGGCCAGAGAAGCCACACAGTTTCTGTGGTGGGAGCTGCCTGTAAGAGAGTTCTCAGGATTGGAAGGAATTGGGAGAGAGGCCTCATCAATTTCATAGGATGACCACCCATCCTCACGGTCACTAAAGCCCTCAGCCTTGTAACAGACCTGGGCTGGGAGAGTGGAAGGCTCAACTTTGAAAGCATTTTAGAGTTTTGCTCGTACTCATAAGGGGCTGGATTTAACAATTATGCAACTGAGACCGTTTATTGGGTTAAAGTGATGAGGCTTTTTTCCCCACACCCTATATAAAGGGGTTTCAAAAGCTCAAGGAAAAATTACATAATCTTCTAATTCCTTTTTTTTTTTTTTGTCTTCCAACCACTGTTTTTCTTCCCCTGATATGGTTTTTTTTTAAAGGTTTTTATTGTGGATTGAGTGAAAGTTCACAGTGCAGAGCATCAGTTTTACATCCAACAAATTATACACCTTGTTTCATTACAATGATGATAACCCCCTCCATGTACCATCAGTTAACAGTATTTCTCTCGATCCACTTTAGCTTTTTAATTAAAATAAAAAACAAAAAAACCCACTCAGTCGTATATAATAATTTACATCTCCAAAGGACACATTCTGCAAGTCTGCCTCCTGGCCACCAACTCTTAGTCTCTCTCTTCCCATAAATCTAAAGTCCTCAGCTGCTCCCTCTCTCCATGACCCTATCTCTGCCTCCATGTCTGTCATTGCTGCTTCTCTGGATAAGGTCCTGCTTTCTGCTTGTGCGCTTCTCCCTCGATGTTCCTAGGGTCCTCTGTTTCTGGACTGTAAGATTAATCACTCCCCTGTTTTTGCTACAAAACTTGTACCTTTACAATTGTGACAGTTGCAATTAGTCATGGTAATAGTTATTCACTATTGAATCATACGAATCTTATCCCCATCTCTTTTTACCAGACCCATCTAGACAAGATGACAGCTATTCAGTGGGGACTTTTTCTTTCCCCCCATACTCTTAAACTAAAAACCCTCTTGAAACATTGTAAGCCAGTCACTTTGTGCCTTTATCGCCCCCTCATTATAGGTAGCCAATGTCTAAGTTGTCCATCCCTATCTACCCTGTAGATAGGAGGTGACAGCATTGATACTTGATGTGAAGACTCCTTCCCTCTGTTGGTATTTAGAGTAACTACCTCTCTGAGTATAGGTCAGGTTCATCAAATATCAAATTGTAGCAATTTACTCTTTTTCCTTTATCAAAAAATTTTTTTTTCTTTTTTTCTTTTTTTTGTAATCTTCCTCTATTTGAGTTCTGATTATTGAGCTATCGAGGCTAGGTCAAATGGGTACTGTCTGCAAGTTTGGGTGTTCTTGTGCATCTCCTCTCACTTCATATCAGCTGGATGCTTCACTCTCAGCTCTTGCCCTCTGTGGCTATGTCCTTGTCCATAGGCTCAAGTGTCCTCAGGTCTCACCACACTTTGGACCAACCAGCTCTTCCTCTACTCTCTCTCATCTCCAGGTCAATGGGAGTCAATGGACTGTGGTTGAACTCAGCTAATTTCTTTATGCCTTTCTCCCTTTTCCACTCACCAGTAGACCAGTGTGGTCACCAGCAAGCTTACATGCTTGTTTGTGTGTTCCCTTTGAGTTTCAGTCTTAGAGGGGAGTTTGTCCTGAGGAACTTTATTGCTTGCCTTGACGTGTTCCTGGCGAACAGCTTGCTTATTCTTGTAGTAGTCAGTCATACTGCCATTTTATTTTGGGTTTTTCCTGATGATCTTTTTTTAAAATAAAGATGTATCTTCTGTTGCTCTAGCTGTTCCACACTGGGCTGCTTGTCCTTTCTAGTGAGGATGTCCCACCTCAGAAGCTTCTATACTCTGCAAAGGCTTTGCAAGAGGCCTATTTCACTGGACAAGTTCTAGAACCACCTTTAGGTATTCCAATCAGATATAGGCTGAAGACGGGCTTACAAGTTTTCTCTAATCATATTTCCCAACATTCCTTTCTATCCCACTCAAGTGTCTATTTTACAACAATACGCAAGGGAAATCAATATTCATAAGACAGTCAAGCATTTTAGTATTATTTCCCCTCTTCAAGCTATGCCTAGATCCCTGTATCTGAGAGCCCTGTTGTTCCAAGGTTGAGCATGCATAACTGTTTGCCTCTGTCCTACTTAGAACATGCTAACCTGTCTCAGTGTTCCCCTATCTATCTTGTTCTTCCACCTCCTTCCCCTTCTTGTACTCCCCTTTCCAACACCTGAATTAAACTCCCCACCCAATCCCATTTTGTGGTTACCTTATATTCCATTAATTCTTCCCTCCATTTACAACAGTCTATTTTATCTTGTAATCTACCTGACCTTCTGGATCTCTGTCCCTCTGTGTTTACCTTCTTTCACATTGTAATTGTTTTGATCATAGACTGCCCTCCCAGATCCTCTGTTCTTGTAATTTTATTCTGTTCTTGACTCTTCGGTTTGTCGATTGAATTCAGGGTGATGCTGCCATGTACATCATTCTGTAGTTGTTATGTGTTCTTGCTGGTTCTCAGCCCACAGAACTTCCTTTAGGATGTTTTTCATAGCAGGGTTGACTTTGGCAAAATCCCTTAGCTTCTGTTTATCCTGGAATGTTTTGATTACACCATCGTATTTGATTGACAGCTTTGCTAGGTAGAGGTTTCTTGCGTGGCAGGTTTTTTTCTTTCAGGGTTTTATATTATGTCTCTCCATTGCCTTCTTGCTTGCATGGTTTTTGTTGAGAGATCTGAGCTTAATCTGATTTGCTTGTCTTTGTATGTTACACTTCTCTTTTCCCTAGCTGCATTCAAGATTCTGTCCTTATCTTTGATTTTGGAGAGCTTGATTATTATATGTCTGGTGATTGTCTTTTAGGGTCTATCCTTCCTGGGATTCACTGAGCTTCCTGAATGCTTATCTTTTCACTTTTTAGGATGTTAGGAAATTTTTCTTCCAGAAGCTCTTCAACTATCTCCTCTGTGGACTATGTGATTGTTCCTGTTCTGGAATGCCAATGATTCTTAAATTATTCCTCTTTATGTTGTCCAACATGAATCTTAGGCCTTCTTCAGATTTGTTTTATCCTTTTTGCGTTTGTTCTTCTATCTTAGTAGTTTTGAGAGATTTATCTTCTGGCTCACTAGTTCTGGCTTCTTTCTCTTCAATTCTCCTCCTTTGCCCTTTCAGTGTACTGTCCATTTCTGATATTCTATTATTAATCATTTGGACCTCTTTCTGTAGGTTTTGAATTGTTTCCAATGTTGTATCTTATTTGATTGTTCCTGTAGTGCATTCCTGACTTCTTCCTTATTTTTCTCAACTCCATTGTATAGTGTTTTGATACATTTTATAATCATTTTTCTGAATTCCTTCTCAGGCATTTCCAAAGCCTGCCCATCTTCTAGTATGGAGTGTAGGTCTCCTTCCAGCTTATTTACCTCAGTCGCTTTATCTCGTTTCTGGACATGTGCTTATATGGTCTTCTGCTTCTGTTTTTTGGGAATATTCTGGAGTTATCTGTGGCCTTAATACTTAGATGGGTATGTATTTTGGTATTTTTTATGCTTTCTGATTGCCTCCAGGTAGATGTGATCAGGAGATGGACTTCCCTTTTCATTTTTCTTCCTGAGAAATTTCAAAATTCCACGGTTGGTCGTTGTAACGTAACTCAGGATTTAATTTATGGCCTATTTCCTTTTTAGTCTGCCTGCCTGCTCCACAATCCCCATTCAGGCCTTTTTCCTAGTGATAAACAGTTCCGGGCCAGCTATGGCTGTTTGGTTTTAAGTGGAAACTGTCACTTTAAATTTTGTGGAGATCTGTGTGCATGCATAGTAGAATCCTCCGGGAGTGTGGGTGGGGTGTCCACTCACTCAGGCACCCCATCTAGTCACCAAAATGGAGGTGCATAGGCAGCGAGAGACCAATGAACAGATACCAAAATAAAATTTAAAAAAAGAATGTCCACACCTGTGTCTCTGCAGTTCTGTCAGGTGTTCGTGGCTGTTCTGATCCTTTCCCTGCTTGGTCTCACCCAAGATGGTGGCTCCAGGAGCAGCTGAGCATCTTGAATTAGAAAGCAATGGATTTCTTGCTTCTGCTACAAATTCTCCTAGCTGTAAGTCTTCCAACCTTCTAAATATTCTTTTTATGTCGTTCAGAGTTCTGGCACCATCCCCTGAGCCTGCTTGGTCTGGTATTCTGTGTTGTTGCTGACAGAGCTCTTCACTACATTTCTACCCAGTCCGCCATATTGTTTGTTCCTCTGTTTTCTTTTTCATGAACTTTTGGAAGCCTGCCCAAGATTGCATCCTGGCAGTGGGAGGCAAGGGCGGGAAAGGGGAAGGAAGAACTAGGGAACGCTGGGCCAGACATAGGTGAGGAATTAAAACTGTCCCTGATCAGTTCCGCTTCTTTAGTATCCCAGATACAGTAATAATAAATTAGTTTGTCTCTCAACCCTTTTATGTCCACCCAATGAAACAGACAACTACAAAGATTAGACGATGAGCCACGTGAGAACAGGCACAATATCTTACTCGTCTCTGTGTACCAGCACCTAACTTGGTCTGTGCCTCTTAGTACGTCTTCATTAAGGTTTGTGGAACCTTCATGTGTCACACAGAATTTTGGCAAAGCTAATGCTTTTTGGTGCTCAATATGATCAGAGGTGGATCTGTGCCTAAGTTTCCTGAAATATCAGAAACAGTGCATAGATTGTCTCCCCAACCCTGTTAGCTTTGATCTGGCCCCAGGATTCTCAGGTTTAGAACTACTGATTTAAGAGTGAAATGTTGTTGTTGTTCTTAAGTACCGTTGAGTCAGTCTGGACTCATAGCAACACTGTATAGGGTTTCTAAGAAGCTGCTGGTGGATTTGAACTGCTGACCTTATGATTCACAGTCCAATGCTGATCCTACATCACCACACCAGGATTCCAAGAGTGAAATAGATAACAATAAATAAGAGTAATAATAAAATGACATAATAAATCAGGGTAATAATAAAATGAAATAAAAATAAAACATTAAAAAGTTCAATACATGGCAAAACATAAACTCTTTTATCATTTTCCATGGGGTTTGTTTACAACATATTTCCTGAGTATTTGTGTACTTTTTTCAAAGCCTCTTGTTAAGTGCCATCGAGTTGGTACCGACCCATAGTGACACTGTATACTCCTGTTAAAATTCCACGGAATCTGTAGCTTTGGGATTCCTTGGGCACACTCATACCCTACCTGGAGCCAGCAATATTCTTGCTAACCAAGTAATCGAAATAAGCATCAATGCCTGGCTGTCTCAGTGCCTGTCCTAGGAGAGATCTTAACAACCATAACGATGAACCACTCTGTTAATGTTCTCAGTGATACAACACACTATGACCCCATGACTACAGTTAGGGGGGTTTGCTGTCATCAAGTAATCATACAATATTGTTGTTGTTAGTTGCTGATTCCGACTCAGGGAGACATCTCATGTGCAGGGCAGAACTGCTCCAGAGGGTTGTTAAGGCTGTGGCCTTTAGGTAGCAGATTGCCAGGCTTGTCCTTTGAGGTACCTCTGGGTACATTTGAACTTCCAGCCTTGTAGTAAAGCACTTAACTGTTTGTGCTTCCCAGGGACTTAAGTCACACTGTTGTTCTTAGGTGCCATTGAATCAGTATCAACTCACAGCGACACTATGCACAACAGAATGAAACACTGCCTGGTCCTGGGCCAACCTTACAATCGTTGCTACATTTAAGACCATTGCTGCTGCCATCTCGTTGGGGGTCTTACTCGTTTTCTCCAACACTCCACTTTACCAAACATGATATCCTTCTCTAGTGACTGGTCCCTCTTGATATGTCCAAAATATGAGAGAAGAAGTCTGGCCATCCTGGCTTCTAAGGAACATTCTGTCTGTACCTCTTCCAACATAGATTTGTTTGTTCTTTTGATGGTTCAAGTACTTTTAATATTCTACTCTAATACCATAACTCAAATGCATCAATTTTTCTATGGTTTTCCTTATTCACTTTTCACCTTTCATTTGTATATGAGGTTATTGAAAATACCATGGCTTGGGTTAGGTACACCTTAGTCCTCAAACTGACATTTTTGCTCTTCAACACTTTTAAGAGGTCTTGTGCAGCAGATTTGTCTAATGGAATACATCATTTGATTTCTTGCCAGTAATATTATAACATATGTGATTATACTGCAATAGCTTATTTAAATGATTGCACATCTATTAACTGTGAGCCCCACCAGGGCTTGAGTCTGACCTTTTCTTCTCTGTATCTTCAGCAGTGAACCAAACACTTGGTATATTTTTGGAATGAATGAATGAATTAGTAAATAATTTCATCTGGAATTTGTAAAATGGGGGAATTATAGTGACTTCTTAGCTTTGGCAGTGACACACATAGACCACTAATTAAAGAAAACTGCTTTGGCAGTTTTTGATTTTTCATATATGCCCATGTACTTGCCTAAACCTTTACTAAATAGTATTATCTGTATCCTTCAGACTTATGGTCCCAAATCAAAATGCTAGCTGAATCTAAATGAACACATACATCATTCTTCCTTCCCTCTCTGAGTCTCTGACATTTTGAGGTTATGACTTATTTTGTTTTAAATTGATAGATAATCTTAAGTACTAAAAAAAAAATCTTAGGGTACTTTTTAAGACTTAGAAACTTACCTTGGAAAAATAACTCTTTTTGATTCTAAATAGGCCTCTAAACACTTCTGAATTTGATCAAGCAATGCATTATTGTTTTGAAAAGTCTCTAGAAGTCCTGTTCATTGGAAAAGAAAAATTGGTAATATTAAGTTAAAACAGAAAATATAATTTTAAATGGAAAGAAAATATGATATTGACATTTTAAAATCTTAGGTTTTATTTCATGAAAGAATGGACTAGTAAATTAAGATTTGGAGAATGGCTGAGAATATTAACTAGTTCTTTTAATCATCTACCACATATGAACAAGTATACTTAATTTGAAATTTTTTTAGCTTGTGTCCTTTACCTTTGGGGGTCTTGGAGTACACAAACCAAAGTCAAGTAGCTGTCCTCTCCTTGACCCTCCAAACAGAGCCAGTCCATAGACCCTAGTCCTAAACTCTGTCACATTCTCAAGTCTTTTCTGTTTCCTCTGTCATCTTTAGATGTCAGAGTTGTGGCAATCGGAGCCTGTTTCCTCATCATTAAAGTATAAATCCTTAATGAGCAAGATCCATGTCTCACTGATCTCTGTAGTTTTGGTGCCTGTCACAGTGCCTGACTTCCCTGCCTATCCAAGAATCAAATCCAAAGTCTTTCTATGGCCTTCCGTATGATCCCATCCATCCATCCCAAGTCTGCCCACATACACTCCCTCTGTGACCTCATCGCCTGCACACCCTTCATGTGCACTCCACTGTAACCCACACTGGTTCCCTGCTGACACCTCAGGGTCCTTACCTTTGCTGTTTGTTTCCTCTACTCCAGCACTCTTTCCTCTGGATCTACAGCCTGTCTCCCTCCCTCATTCCTGAAAGTTTATGCTCAAAAGTCCCTTATTAATAACAATCATCATATGAGCAATAAATAACATCATGATTAAAGGAGAAAAGATTGAAGTTGTCAAAAACTTCATTTTTCTTGGGTACACAATGAACACTCATGGAAGCAGCATTCAAGAAATCAAACAACATATTTCAGTAGCAAATCTGCTGCACAAAATCTCCTTAAGGCGTTCAAGAGCAAAGATATCAGTTTGAGGACTAAGGTCCACCTGACCCAAGCCATGGTATTTTCAGTAACCTCATATGCATGTGGAAGCTAGATAATGAATAGGGAAGACTGTAGAGTAATTGATGCATTTGAATTATGGTGTTGGAGAAGAGTACCATGGGCTGTCAGAAAAACAAACCAATCTGTGTTTGATGAAGTACAGTGAGAATTAAACTCCTTAGAAACCAGGAGGTGAGCCATGTTATCAAGACACATTAGCTCTCATACTTCGGCCATGTTATCAGGAGGGACCAGTCCCTGGAGAAGGCCATCATGCCTGGTAAAATGGAGGGGCAGCGAAAAAGAGGAAGACCTCCCATGAGCTGGTCTGGCACAGTAGCAGCAGGGGGCTCAAGTGTAACAACAGTTGTGAGGTCAAGTGCATGACTGGGTAGTGTTTTGTTCTCTTGTATGTAGGGTTGATGGGAGATGCAACCAACTCGACAGTATTAAACATCAACAACAAAATTAAGGTAAAAATGATGAAAGGGAATGTTATGGGTGTTTATAGAGGAGTGATTACAATAATGGAAAACAGAATCTCTTCTGGGTAAAGAGGGAAGTGAGAACATGAGGGAGGTGCTGGATGGATGGACCCCTGGACTAAAGGTTTCTGTCAAGTCACATGACTGTTCTCTTGGCATGCCTACATGGGTATTGGGAGTCTTAGAATGTACTCTTGGCAAAGAATCTCCCATTTTTTTCTATTTAAGATTTATAAAATTCATGGGAAATAAAAGAGTTAGAAATGCTGCCTCCGAAGTAGTTCAGCAGATGTGGCACAATTTAGGAATCATTTCAATATAGGAAAGATTTACTGTGTGGGGTTTTTTGTTTTTGTCTTTGTGCCATGTGAAAGGAGTCCTGGTGTAGCACTGTAGGATAAGCAATAGAACGCTAACTGCAAGGTAGGCAGTTCAAACCTATCAGCCACTCCTCAGAAACCCTACACTGGGTCTCTATGAGTCAGAATTGCCTCACTGGCACTTAATAACAACAACCAGTGAAAAAGTAATAGTAAAATGATAATAAAAAAGACACTGATCTGCTGCAATCCAGAAGTCTATGCAAGAACGTCCCCAAATTGGTTATGATTCTTTTAGTAATCACTCACACTTTTCTATTTGGTACGCCACATGATGTACACATAGTATCCATTAGTAAAACATACAGATTTGCTTTACACCTGGTTGAGTAGCTGCTCGAAGAGCATTAGGCAGGCGGTTCACCTTCCTCATGATTTCTTTCCAGGACTTATCCACCTGAAGAAACATCTTGGCCTCTGCAGGCAACTGCCTCTGAATGTCTGGAGCATTAAAAATACTTTCCAGGTAGAGCCAATTTCTCTGACAGTTCAGCCACTCTTCCTAGGTGAAAAATATGGATATTAACAAATTTTAATCCCCACAATGAACATATACAGTTACATTAAACTTAATTATTTGGGGATTCACTATTGTTTTTCTTTGCAGACTGGGATATGACGCCTTACGTCTGCATGAGTTCACCCCACTCTCCATTAAGCAGAATAATAATGAGTCTGCTCTGTGGGAACTACGATGGAACCAGAGAAACATGGCTAAAGTGCTCAGAGGGGACATTCTAGAGGGAAGCAAGATGTCTACTTAATGAAATCTGAGGGGCTGGCAATGTGGTGAGTTTTGATTTTTTTTCCCCTCAATTATTCTATGTTCTTCTTCTTTTTATTTGAAAATTAAAAATTAAAAATAGGATTTATTTTCTTCAGTCATAAAGGTAAATCCTGACAGGGACAGAACATACAGAAAACAGGAAGGAAGAAAATACAGAAGACAAGGAGGAAGAGGGCCATACATTGTCCTTCCTTTAGAGACGATCATTGTTCATTACAGAAACCAGAGACACAGGGTCAGAATGAACATCCCTAGAGCTAATCTTTCCTGTTTGTTTCCTGCCATGGTGCAGGTTCAAATCCAAGAAAGAGTTTCTTACATTTCTCTTTTAGATTTTGGATCACTGTCTAAACCTTACACCACAAACACTTCCTGGTTTACCTCAGGTCTCCCACTGTTTGACAATAAATTCTTTGGGTCCCCCTATCCAGCATAGACTTCTTTTAAGGACAATCTTTGAATATGTATTCTTTAATCTGATACATAGTTCCTCCCTTCATACAACTCAGCTATCAGTCCAAAATGCTGGACAGGGATCAGATAATATGGTTTTCATAGAATAGGATGGATCCCTGAAAAAATTCTCTGTGAAACAAAGTGGGAACCAATTACCTTTTCTTATTTGCTGCCTTTATCATTTCACAGATAACTTTCCATATTAGAATAAAGGGGAACCCAAACATAATTAGGAGTCCTGGTGGGGTGCTGTGGGCTAATGCGTCAGACAGCAAAGTTGTCTGAACTGCAATGTCAGTGGTTCAAGTTCACCAGCTGCTCCTTGGAAACCCTATACAGGGTCGTTATGGGTCAGAATCAACTCGATGGCACTTAACAACAACAACAAACATAATTAAATTAAGCTAAATAGCTGAAGAGATGAGATTGGAATAATGTGAGACCAGTGCAAGTGGGCTTTTTTTCTTTTTTACTGTGGGAGAATCTAAGATGAAATACAGGAAAAGAGAGGTATGCATCATAAGGAAGCAATCCAAAGAGATTTCAAGCAACAGTGAATGCTTTCCTAGAGGATATACATGGTGGCAAGACTCTGATGGTGGGCCCATAAGAATGTGGACACTATCTGTGACTTGATTTTAGTCCGAAGAACATGGCAAAGGTAATGAGATGTATATGTTACATGCATGTGCTTGTCTTACACGACTGTAACATCTGTCTTGCCAAGATACTCTCTTCCTCACTGAACTGATGAAGCAAGTGGTCATGTTGGGAAACACTTGCAGGCAGCCTCCAGGAGCTGAGGATGGCCTCTGACTGACAGTCAACAAGAAATCGAAGCCCTTCATCCTACAGCTGCAAGAACATGAATTCTGCCAGCAGCTGAATAAGCCTGAAAGTACATCTTTTCTCGTCCTGGCTGACACCATGACTGCAACTTTGTGAGACCCTAAGTAGAAGGTCCAGTGGAGCCATGCCCCAACTCCTGACCTCAGAAACTGTGAGATAATAAGTGTGTGTTGTTTTAAGTCACTGAGCTTGTGGTCATTTGTTGCACAGCAATAGACAACTAATACAAGGGAAATGGTAAGAACATTACACTACATAATCATGTAAAGGAAAACTCACTACCTTTGCATTTTTCTTACATTTAGAGAATGAGAGAAAATGTTAACAATTAAATCTTGTCATTCTAAATTACATGATATTTACATGATCAGCCAAACGATTTTTAAAGTTTTTTTTGTGGTTCTCCAATTCTCTAGTTCTATGAATTAAAACTAAGGAGGTCTGGTAGTGTAGCGGTTACGAATCGGGCTGTGAACCGCAAGGTCAGCAGTTTGAAACTACCAGCTATTCCGCAGGAAAAAGATGAGGTGTTCTACTCCCGTGAAGATTTACAGCCTCAGAAACCCAGTACAGGGTCGCTATGAGTCGGAACCGACTCCACAGCACATAACCACCATCATGATTTAAAACTGTGTAGTCCTGGTGTGGCGCTGTGGGATAAGGCACTGGACCGCAAGGTCAGTTTGAACCACAAGGTTGGTAGTTCAAACTCACCAGCCACATCTTTAAAACCCTATACAGGATTGCTATGAGTCAGAACCGATTGGATAGCACGTAACAAAAAATGAATTAAAATGATCCTTACTCACCAATGTTTGATTAAATAAAGCAAGTTGTTTCTGCCACTCATCCACTCGAGACTTTAGTGGACCCACATGACGTGAGGAGGCAATGGTTGCAATGTTGATGGTGCTGTCATCTAGAAGCACCTTTAAAGAAAGGGGAAGGAAATGCATGCAGCACTATGTGCTTGTGCCCAGTCACAACTATAAGCATTCAGTCCCAATAGTCCATTTAAAAGAAAGGGGAAGGAAATGCATGCAGCACTATGTGCTTGTGCCCTGTCACAACTATAAGCATTCAGTCCCAATAGTCCATTTAAAAGCCAACTTCTTGAATGAATAGCTTAGGTCCACTTACTGTTTCCTCCTTATCTCCTTCACTGTGGCTTTCAGCCCCGTGATGAAGTGCTCTCTAAGATCCCCAAGGGACATCTGATTACCAAATCTTTGCTGCTCCGGTCATCAATAATGACTGAAATTTTAGTTTGGCTCCGTACTCTCTTCTTTCTTTCCCACTATACGGTAACTGGTAACTTCTTTACACCCTTAGGTCACCCTGGTCTTCACTTCTCAAAGAATCCTATACTGGCAAAATTAGCTGTCTTTTATTGAAAGAAATATACCTTTGTCCCAACTTTTTATGGAAGAAGAAAAAGGAACTCATTAAGATCAAGATCTGAGTGAATATAGACAGCTCTCCTCTCCCTCAACTCTCCAAAATGGATGTTTGCTAATCTAAGAGAGGTTCATTCCTCTGTTTAAGTCTCCTGAGAGTAGAAATCCCATCATACAGCATCAGTTGACCTCATACTGACACACCCTCACTTTGGGTCTGCTCTCCACCCAGAGCCCAGAGTGGGGTCTAGTCTCCCTCTTGCAAAATACAATTGGTAAAACCATTTCATTTCCAATTGGATCTAGGTGCACCATCCTAAGCCATAGCTTTGCCTTGAAAATTGGGCTGTAAGACTCGGCTCCTTCTACTAAACCAATGTGACTTCAAGGTGTTTCAAGTCATAAGGAATATTCCAAACACTTGAATCTTTTGTGAAGCATGACCATCTACTTGTAATCTCCATAAACTAAGTGAATTTAGCATTTGAATGTTCTATAAACTGGCATGCTCACTTATTCTTCTTTGCCATGTTTAAATGGTTTGAAATATGCTCCCATCTATTCCTATCTAATCTTTAAGGTCCAGCTTGTCTTGACTAGTCCCAGAAGGATTCAGCTATCACCAATCTCTCTAAGTTCAGGTTTTCTAAATTCCTCAATAATTATGAACATTAGGATTCTAGTTCTTATACATATATACCACATTTATTGCTTTGCTAAATAGTTCATTCAATTATTGAATTCAATACTTCATATCAATTATATCATATTCATTGAGTCCTGGTGTGGCTCTGTGGTTTAATGTACTGGACTGCAAAGTTGGTTTGAACTGAAAAGTCGGCGGTTCAAGCTCACCAGCTGCTCCTTGGAAACCCTATACAGTGTTTCCATGGGTTGGAACTGACTCAATAGCACTTAACAACAACAACAACAACAACAAATATCATATTCTTATAATTCGAATTATAAGATAATGGAATTTTCCCATGAATTTTCGAAGCCCTCCCTATATCTTGCCTTCCCAATGAGGTTGTTTCATTTTGTGACTTTCATATTTCATTACTTTACCAGAATCTGCCACAAAAGATTAGGATCAGATCTGACCAGAACCTTTACTGTAAAATTTTAATAACCCAGTTACCCACCTGTATGTCATCTGTGCCGCCCAGGATAAATACATCTTTGGAGTCACGGTGAGGCAGAATGACAAATTCAGTTGTTTTCCAAGAATCCTCCACCTTTGAAATATCCAATCAGTAGAATATCTGAATCCATCTTTTGGTTAGGCATTAAATAAATGAAATCTATGAAAACTGCATAGGGATACCATTCTTTCTTACTGTCCTTAAAATTGCTAAAATCCCCCTTTTATTTTGTTTGTCTCTTATTTTTAAGAGCTATTGAGTCAGTTCTGACTCACAGTGATCCTGTCTAGGGTTTCCAAGGAGTGGCTCATGGGTTTGAGTCGCCAACCTTGTGGTTAGGAGCCCAGTACTTATCTGATAGCACCACACTGATTTGCTTAATTTTATTTAACCAGTGTTCATACATATAAACAACTTGTGATACTTTAATGTGCTATTTACCACCATTTTGTGCTTTAACTAACAAGAAGAATTTCCATTTAGGCACGTATTCCATATTGTTGTTGCTAAATGCCATCGAGTTGGTTCAAACTGACTTTACAGTCCAGCGTATTAACCCACAGCATCACACCAGGATGCCCCGCACTCTCTAGCTGTGCATATGTTTTTAAGGTGAGGAGGTAGTATGTGATACCAGCAGGGAAGTGTTGAAGCTTTTCAGAGAATTCACACAGTCTTCTCTGTAGTTAGGAAAATAAATTAATTTGGTTTGAAAGATTTTCCATGCTGTGTGGATCTTTATATGGGCAGACAATTTCAAACTTTGTTGCCATCAAGTTCTTGCTGGGTTATAGGCTAAACAGGAGATTTATAGAGTGATATATTATCAGGAGTTACCAGTCACTGGAGAAGGCTACCATGCTTGGTAAGGTCAGAGAAAAAGAGGAAAACCGCCAGCGAGATGGACTGACAAAGTGGCAGCATTAATGGGCTTAAGCGTGGCAACAATAGTGAGGTTGGCCCAGGATTGGGCAGTGTTTCATTCTGCTGTGCATAATGTCGCCATAAGTTGGTATTGACTTGATGACACCTAACAACAACAATAATGATGCTGTAGGGTCAACACTGGACTTCGAACCACGAAGTTGGCAGTTCAAACCCATCAGCTGCATCTCAGAAACCCTATATAGGATCACTATGAGTTGGAACCAACTCAACTGCACTTAACAACAACAACAACAATCAGCATGGTAATAAATGTAACCAAATAACAGAGGGATGAATGACAATTAGAGGTTGAAAGGAGCAATGCTAAAAATCCATCCAGATGCCCAAAAGTTGGTAACTTTCATCCTGAATCTGAAAACTTTTACATTGCGAGCAATCAGGACATATATTTTTCAGATCAGGACTATAGTTTTGAGTGGCACCAAGATCACTTGGTGATCTTGGTCCACTAAGGCAACGTTCTACATCCTATGCTGGCGAGCAGTAACTGGAGTCTCAAAAGTTTTTGAGTGGCCATCCAAGGTGCAACTATTGGTCATTTCCCTTCTGGAGCAAAGAAGAGTGAGAATAATCAAAGACGCATGGAAACATTTAGTCAGAGATTATTTTGCTTTTGTTGTTAAGTGCTGCCGAGTTGGTTCCAACTCATAGCGACACTATATAGGGTTTCCAAGGAGTGGCTGGTGCATTTAAACTGCCAACCTTGTGGTTCAAACAGGCCTTGTGGTCCAGTGCATTATCCCACAGCATTAGACCATGTGGATCCCAGCCTCAGTGACCCTGAGATCAGAAGAACTAGATAGTGTCTAGTTACCATTGGTAGGCACTCTTAGAGAACTCACAACTGGAGGTCCTGAAAAGAATTGGGGAAAAAATGTGGAACCAAACTAAAAAAAATCCAGGCTTATTGGTCTGATAAATATTGGTAGAACCCCAGAGACTATGACCCTTAGTCACCCTTCAAGCCTGAAACTGAACTCACCCCCTGACTCAACTTTCAGCCAAACAGTAGATGCGCACTCCTGAGATGCACACTCCTGAGAACGAGCCACCATACAGGATCAAAAGGGTAGCGTTTGCCCTGGGATAGAGCTTGAAGGCAGGAAGGGAAAGAAAAGGAGAAAAGGAAACCAAGTCCAGGGAGGAAGTGGGAAGAGTGTTGTAGGGATCGCAACTGATGTCACAAAACAAAAGGTGCATGATTTGGTGAATGTTTCCATTTCACCCAAATCACAAGACAAAGTTACAAAACACAGAATATGGAATTTTCACACTTACCTTTTTAAGAATTGTTTCTAAAGCCGCTTCTCCAGAAGCCTGTCCAGAAATGTCCTGGATTTTTTGACCAAAGTCAAAAACATGCAACTCAGAGAGCTTCTCCAAGGTTAGTGGAATTTCAAGGTCCACTAGGGTGGCATCAACTGTTTGTTCAATAGCTGTCCAGTGTCTAGGCTTCAGAGTTGGATTCCTCAAGTCAATGATAACTGGGAGCTGGAAGACACACAGCCTTAGAAATACCGTGCTTTTGTCTTGACAACAGTCTTATATTTCTGGTTTCAACTTGGGGATGCAGACAGCCAGAAAGAATGTCAGTTCTATTCTTACACACACAAAAAAAACTGGATAAACTGAAAATTTATGACTTTTCTTGAACCCATAAGAGAATAGACGTTTCAGACAACCAACTAACTCCCAAATTGCAAACAGACTGGTACCCAAAGTAGGGAACATGTCTTCAAAATGTGCTAACCTGGGCAGACACTTTGGGACGCCATATAAATTCGTAATAGGACTCAGCTAAATGTTTTCAATCAATTGATAAAGAAAGAATTTGGGGTAACATGAGAATGTTGAGTCCCTGGAGCCACTGATACAGAGATGTTCCCTGGGAAAACTGGAGAGGATCCAGGAAAGCTTCCCTTATGAAGCTAGCTAGGAAAAGGAATAGCAACCACTACTGCAACTCTAACCAGACGCATCTCCTCTAGCTTCCAGATAGAACAAAATACTTAAGGCAAATGGGTAAAAAAAAACTGAGTTTAGAGCACTGGTGAGAGCTCATTACAGTTGCAGAAATGAAACAGGAAAGAAAACACTCTACTCCTGGGAGAGTGGCAGCCATACATGCTAGCTCAGCATCCTAGCTGGGGGAAGGTCATCCCTCTGAAACCCAGGATCACAGGGCAGTATGTCTCATTCCCTGAGACCTTAGGTCACAGCATAGTAAGTGCACCAAGAGACTTATAAGAACATCAGGAAATGACTCTACCTACCCCTCTCACCAGACTAAAAGGTGTTGAGGAAACATAATAATGAAACGTCACTTAGAAAGTTGCAGGAGAAAGATACAGCTCAAAGGAAGGACCTAAAGTGAGACGGAAAAAGAAATTGAGAAAATTACCTTTGGCAAACCAGTCTAAACCTTCAACACAAGATATCACTAGAGAAATGTGAAGTGTTTGGTGCAATTAGGTTAACCATTAAAACAAGAAACCTTAAGCCTAATCCCGTGCCTAATTAGATTTAACATAACAGACTACACTACCAGTCAAACAGAAGGCAGGTTATGCTCATCTCCAAGCATACAAATTATCATCTCCATCCCTACTTTATTATATAAACTGCTTGGTTTTCAACAAAAAATTAATAGACACATAAAAAGACAAGAAAAACACACAGCCAAGAAACAAACAAAAATCAGAAGCATACTCACATACGATATATTTGTTGGAACTAACAGAAAATTTAAAATAAGGAGTTCTAGTAGTGTAGTGGTTACGAGTTGGCCAGCTAATCTCAAGGTCATAAATTTGAAACTACCAGCTGTTCCATGAGCGAAAGATGAGGCTTTCTGCTCCTGTAAAGATTCACAGCCTTGGAAACCCCATGTAGGGTTGCTATAACTTAGAACCTACTCCATGGTACATAACCAGCCAACCAACCAACAAATGCTTAATGTGTTTAAAAGGCTCAAATGGAGAAAGTAGACAATATGCAAGATCAGATGGGTAATTTCAACACAGAGAATTGAAATTAAAATAATAAAACTGAAATCTTTTAATAAAACTGAAAGACAGTAAGGGAAATGAAAGAATGCCTTTCAGGAGACTTAGAAAAGAATCAGTGAACTTGGAGATAGATGACTAGAAATTCCAAACTGACACACAAAGAGAAAAAGAAGAAAACATGTAATTAGAATCACAGAAGGAAATGAGAGAGAAAAAAACAGGGAGAAAAAAAAACAGCTGCAATTTTTTTTTTCAAATTAAAGACAGACTTCAAATCGCAGGTCTAAGAAGTTCAGAGAACACCAAGCAGAACAAACACAGTCAAACAACAGCAACAACACCACACTTGTTATATTGTTGATGTTGCAAACTGCCATCAAGTTGGCCCCAACTCATAGTGACTTGAAACATAATGGGGCTGGACCATTGTGTTCCATTGGATTTTCATTGGCTGATTCCAGAAGGGAAATGTTGGAACTGTCTTCCTAGTTGGTCTTGGTCTGAAAGCTGCACTGAAACCTGTTCAACATCAGTGTAATGTGCAAGCTGCCACTCACAGACGATGGGTGGTTACACTTGAAGACCATTAGCTGAGAACTGAACTTGGGTCTCCTGCACAGTAGGCAAGAATTGTATATCAATCACCACCTGTCATATTAAAACTACAGAAAACTGAAACAAAGAGAAAATCTTGAAAGCAGTCAGAAAAAAAAGACACATTAATTAAAAAGGAACAAGGATGACTTCTTACCAGGAACTACACAAACAAGAAGATGAAAAAAGGATACCAGAAAGCTGCTGAAATAAAATGAAAAAACAAGCAGAAAAAGACTCTAATTCCAGAATTATATACGCAGTGAAAATACTTTTCAAAAATTAAGAATAAAAACCAATCTGTGAAACATGGATGAACCTGGAGGATATTATGCTGACTGAAATTAGTCAATCACAAAAGAATAAATATTATATGAGACCATTATTGTAAAAGTGTAAGAAAAAGTTTGTATACTAAAACAAACATTCTTTGATGATTACCAGGGATGGGAGAGAATGGGAACATAATTCACTAGAGGTAGTGGCTAGAGGGTAGACCACATGTTAGTTTGGGAGATGGGAAGGGCAATATATAAGAAGAATGATGGTGGCATAAGAATGATGACGTCAGGTGAAGACACAGGCAGGTATGCAAGTGCTAAAGGGGATAGAGATAAATAGTGTTATATGCACAACTTTGGAACAATAGTGTTCTGTGTGCATGAATTGAGACATAGGCTGAATGGGTGAGGGAGAAAGAGTGGGATATATACGTATATATTTATATATTCCACCAATGTACAAAAGTTTGAAAGAGGATATTTGTACATGAGGATTTACCTTACCTGCAAACACAATTAGGCATACAGTGGGCAAAATGATGAAAACTTCCTAGATATTATCAAATATCTTAAGGCAATGAGTTGTTGAGCCAGGAGGTTCAGGATCATAGTCTCCGGGGATACCATAGTCTACTGGCATAATACAGTCCACAAAGACACTGTTCTACATACTGCTTAGGTTGGTAGTGTATGGGATCTCAACAGCTCATGAGCAACCATCTAAGATGCAGTTACTGGTCTCTTCATGTACAGAAGAAAGAAGACTGATAAGAATGGAAGCGGCTTGGAATCAATTAATCCAATAAACTAATGGCACTCGTGAACATCAGTCTCCCTGACTCTAAGACCAGTTGAAGTAGGCAGTGCCTGACTACTACTACCAACTGCTCTGAAAGGGGATCACATTAGAAGGTGCATAGAGTGGGAGAAAGTGTGGGACAAAACTCAAAATTATTTTTAAAAAAAGACCGAATTTATAGTCAGAAAGAGACTGAAGGAATCGAGACTATGGCTTTGACCACCCTTCTGGTTTGGGAAGGAACTCACCCTCATGGCCTGATTTTCAACCAAGCAGTAGATAGATATATAGGGAGGGACAACAACACTAGGAAGGAATGCTCACTATAAAATGGTCAATTGTTCAAAATCAAAAGGGCAACATTTTCCTACAGACAAAGTTGAGAAAGGATGGGAAGGTGGGTGGAATGCAAATAGGAACCACAGGGAGGAAGTGGGATAGCTGTTTTTGCATGGAAGGATTGCAGTCATTGAGATGAAACAAAGTGTATGATTTCTTCAATGGAAAACTGATAGTCTTGTGTATGAACTTTACTTAACTCAGTTCACAGAAAAAGTTAATAAATAAATAAATAAAGACTTTCTCATAATAAAAACTAAAAGGATTCATTGTTAATAGGCCTACTTTCTAAGAACTATTAAAGACAGTTCTTTAGACAGAGTGAATATGCTAGGAGTCAAGATACTTAGATCTATACAAAAAATGGAAAACACCGGAAAGTTTTACTAAAGGTAATACAGAAACAGCTGCAAGTATACACTGACCGAGAACTTCCAGAGGTTCAAGCCAGATTCAGAACAGGCCGTGGAACGAGGGATGTTATTGCTGATGCCCAATGGATCTTGGCTGAAAGCTGACTATATCAGAAAGATGTTTACCTGTGCTTTATTGACTACGCAAAGGCCTTCGATTGTGTGGATCACGACAAGCTATGGACAACATTGCGAAGTATGAGTATTCCAGAACACTTAATTGTGCTCATGAGGAATCTGTACTTGGACCAAGAGGCAGTTGTTTGAACAGAACATGGGAACCCTGAATGGTTTAAAATTAAGAAAGGTGTGCGACAGGGTTGTATTTTTTTCATCATAATTATTCAACCTGTATGCTGAGCAAATACTATGAGAAGCTGGGTTATATGAAGAAAAATGTGGCATCAGGATTGGAGGAAGACATATTAACAACCTGAGATATGCAGATGCTACAACCTTGCTTGCTGAAAGTGAAGAGGACTTAACACATTTACTAATGAAGATCAAACAGCACAGCCTTTGGTATGGATTACATTTCAATGTAAAGAAAACAAAAATCCTTACCTTGGACCAATAAACAAAATTTTTATCCACGGAGAAAAGATTGAAATTGTCAAGGACTTCATTCTTTTTGGATCAACTATCAACACTCACAGAAGCAGCAGTCACAGAATCAAACGACATTGCATTAAGCAAATCTGCTGCACAAGACCTTTATAGAGTGTTAAAGAGCAAAGATGTCAGCTTCAGGACTAAGGTGTTCCTGACCCAAGCCATGGTATTTTCAGTAAGCTCATATGCATGAGGTTACTGAACAGTATTTACTGGACAGTAAATAAGGAAGACCGTAGAAGAATTGACGCATTTGAGTTATGGTGTTAGAGGAGAATACTGAAAGTACCATGGGCTGCCAAAAGAACAAACAGATCCGTTTTTGGAAGAAGTGCAGCCAGAGTGCTCCTTGGAAGCCAGGATGGCCAAACTTCGTCTTTCATATTTTGAACGTCTTTTCAGGAGGGACTACTCACTGGAGAAGGCTATCATGTTTGGTAAGGTGGAGGGTCAGAGAAAAAGAGGAAGACCCCCAACGAGATGGGTTGGACAGGTGGCAGCATCGATGGACTCAAGTGTGGCAACAATAGTGAGGTCGGCCCAGGATCGGGCAGTGTTTTGTTCTGCTGTGCATAAGGTCACTATGAGTCGGTACCAACTTGATGGCACCTAACAACAACAACACCATTGTAAGTCTAAGGAAAATGAAAACAAAACAAAAAGTGTACAAAAACACTCAGCGTGATTACTTTGCTTCCCACTGTGCCTGAAACTTTGCTTACTTTTCCTACCAGTGTCTTCGTTTAGTCCTTTATTTCGTCTCTTTAAAAAACCTAATGCAAACTGGCTAATAGGCTCCAGTCTTTTCCGTTTTGTTTTCCAGTTTAGGCATTGCCCCAACAGTGACAGGTTTTAAAGAGACTGTCCTGCACACCTATTGTTGGACTTTGCACATTGTGGCACACCTGGGACATGACAATGTTTGTAGGAATATAAATGGACAGAGCTACACTAGCTTCCTATGGCTGCCTCAGGGCTGAGAGGACAAGCATCTCAGCACATCTACAACCTTTCCTTTAACATTTGCTCTATCAACACTCGGGAAACTCTTACTCTGAATGGTCCTTCTAACCTAGATGTTCAATTACATGATTTGGTCTTTTTGAAGGTGGGGATGCAGCTTGTACATCTTAAAAATTTGAACTTGTGTATTCTTCTCTCTGCAAAGCAGACTAACTTAAATAAGGAATAAATCCTGATTTACATCTCATTAGCTTCAAGTTACATCACCAACTAGCCTGGGTTTCTGAAACAATTTTTACTAATCTTACCTTTTCTTTCATTTTTTCCACCTTATGTTTGAGTTGAGGCACTACATTGTTGGGTGGCAAGCCTTTTTCCAACTGAGCCACAAACTTAGTATATTTAGTAACCTGGGAGTTCAGCATTTCTGGATCCAGGCAGTCAAATTTGGACTAGGAACATACATTAAAAAAAAAAAAAAAAAGAATTAAGACATAGGAAAAATTAAGGTGGAATTAGTAAAAAAAAAAAATATATATAGTCAGATTTTCCTAGTAGATGAATGATTACAAGTTATGACTATAGTTTTGGAAATGAAATTACTCATTATGTCTGACACTTCCTTATTATTCTTATCATGGTCCTTGTGTCCCGTATCACAGAATGTAATACTGCTTCCCCTGTAGTTTGTTCCTGAGAGTCAATACTCATCAAAGTCTTCAAAGGAGACAGCCAATTTTTACTTTAGCAAGGTATATAAAAACCTATGTATGTGTACTTAACAGTTATATAAAGATATGCTGTTGTTACTGCTGTAGTTGTTAAGTGCTGTCAAGGCAGTTCCAACTCAGTGACCCTATGCAAAACAAAACGAAACACTGCCCCGTCCTGCACCATCCTCAGAATCGTTACACTTGAGGTCATTGCTGTTGACACTGTGCCAAAGCCATCTATCTCACTGGGAGTCTTCCTCTTTTACTCTGAACCTCTGCTTTACCAAGCAGGATGTCCTTCTCCAGAGACTGGATCCTTCAGAGAACACGTCCAAAGTATGAGAGCCAAAGTGTGGCCATCCTGGCTTCTAAGGAATAATCTGGTTACACTTGTTCCAACACAGATTAGTTTGTTCTTCTGGCAGTCCATGGTACCCCCTCAGTATTCTTCTCCAACACCATAACTCAAATTCATCAATGATTCTAAGGTCTTCGTTATTCATTGTCCAACTTTCACATGCATTTGAGAAAATACCATGGCTTGGGTCAGGCATATCTTCATCTTCAAACTGACATCTTTGCTCTTGAACATTCTAAAGAGTTTTTGTGCAGCAGATTTGCCTAATATATCATTTGATATTTTGACTGGTACCTCCATGAGTGTTGATTGTGGCCCCAAGCAAAATGAAGTCTTTGTCAACATCAATTTTTTCTCCATTTATCATGATGTTATTTGTTGGTCCAGTGGTAAGGATTTTTGTTTTCTTTACAATTGAGATGCAACCTATACAGAAGACTCTGGTTTTTGATCTTCATCAGTAAAGATTTTAAGTCCTCATCACTTTCAGCAAGCAAGATTGTAGCATCTGCATATCGCAGGTTGTTAATAAGTCTTCCTACAATTCTGATGCCATGTTTTCCTTCATATAATCCAATTTCTCAGGTTATTTACTTGGCATACAGATTGATTAATTATGGTGAAAGAATACAACTGTGACTCACACCTTTCCTGATTTTGAATCATTAAGTGTCACCTTGTTCTATCCCAACAACTACTTCTTGGTCTATATACAGGGTCTTCAGGAACACAATTAAGTGTTCCAGAATACCCATTCTTCACAATGTTATCCATAGCTTGTCATAATCAACTCAGTTGAAAGCCTTTGTATATTCAAAAAAGCAAACTAAACATCCTTCTGGTATTCTCTACTTTCTGCCATGATCCATCTGATGTCAGCAATGATATCCCTTGTTCCAAGTCCTCATCTGACTCTGGCTTGAACCTCTAGCAGTTCATGTACTGTTGCAGCCATTTAAAAATTATCGTTAGCAAAGTTTACTTGCATGATAAATAAATGGTATTGCCTGACAATTTCTGCATTCCATTGGTCACCTCTTTTTAGAATGGGCACAAATTTGGATCTCTTTCAATCAGTTAGCCAGGTAGACGTCTTCTGAATTTCTTGGCATAGATGAATGAGTGCCTCCAGTGTCACGTAAGTGTAATGAAAAATTTCAATTTACATTCGTCAATTCCTGGAGCCTGGTTCTTTGCCTTCATTGCACCTTGGGCTTCTTCCCACAGTACCATCAGTTCTTGATCATAGGCTATCTCTAGAAATGGTTGAACATTGACCACTTCCTTTTGGCATGGTGACACTTTGTATTCCTTCCATCTTCTTTTTTTGTTTTCTGCATCATTCAATATTTTCCCCTTAGAATTCCTCAATAATGCAAGTCAAGGCTTGTATACTTCTTCAGTTCTTTCAGCTTGAGAAATGCTGAGTGTGTTCTTCCCTTTTAGTTTTCTAATTCCAAGTCTTTGCATGTAGCGCTTGACCATGTCTTCTAGAGCTTCCCTTTGAAATGTTCTCTTCAGCTCTTTTACCTCCTCATATCTTCCATTAGCTTTAGCATTTGTTTGCTGGAGAGCAAGTTTCAGAGTCTCTTCTGACATCTACTTGGGTCTTTTCTTTCTTGACTCTGTTTTTAATGACATCTTGCTTCTTTCCTGAATGTCATCCAACAGCACTTCTGGTCTGCGGTCATTAATGTCTAAAGCATCAAATCTATTCTTGAGATGGTCTCCAAATTCAGAAGGGATATGTTCAAACTCTTATTTTGGCTCTCGTAGGCTTGTTTTAATTTTCTTCAGAGATGGTCTCTAAATTCAGAAGGGATATGTTCAAAGTCTTATTTTGGCTCTTGTGAACTTGTTTTAATTTTCTTTAACTTCAGCCTGAAATTGCCTATAAGCCCCTGGCCTTGTTTTGACTGGTGATATGGAGGGTTTCCACCGTCTCTTCCTACAGTTGTAGTCAATTCTATTTCACTGTATTTCATTTGGTGAGGTCCTTGTGCATAGTTATCTTTTATGTTGTTTAAAAAAGGTATTTACAATGAATAAGTCATTGGTCTTAAAAAATTCTATCATGCAATCTCCAGAATTGTTTCTATCACGCAGGCCATATTTTCTAACTACCGATCCTTCCTCTGTTCCCAACCTTTACATTCCAATCACCAGTAATTATCAATGTATCTTGATTATATGTTTGATCAATGTCACATTGAAGAAGCTGGTATAATTCTTCAATTGCATCATCATTTGCTTTAGTGTTTGGTTTGTAAAATTGGGTAATAGTGGTATTAATTGGGCTTCCTTGTAGGTATATGGACATTATCCTATCATAGGAAGCATTATAGTTCAAGATAGTTTTTCACAGTCTGGAAGCTCAGCTGAAACTTGTCCATCATGGATGAACCTGCTGGTACTGAAAATATCACTGGCGTAGCTCCCAGCATCACAACACACAAGCCACTACAGTACAAACTTGATAGGTGAGCGGTGGATGTTGGTGTTGGTTGCCAATTCATTCAGCATGTGGTGACCATGTGTTACAGCGTAGGATTTTCAAGTCTCTGACTTTCAGAAAGATCACCGGGCCTGTTTTCTGAGGTGCCTTTGGATAAGTTCAAACCACCAATCTTTTTGCTAGGTGCACATAATATATACTGACTTGTCAGATAGTCATATGAACTCAGGACAATAGGAAATTTGTAAACCTTAAAATTTCACAAATAGAATTCTGCAATCCTTAAGAATACTTGGGTGTGTTGTCATAATACTCTGTTGAGAAACCACAAAGCAATTAGATGTCATGTAGTGAGGAACTCTAATGCTTCCTTCACTTTTTCTTCTCAATGAAGGACCAAGAAGCCTGCCTTATAATAATAGTGATAGAAGGAACTTTGTACATTTCACTGGGAAGCTAATCATAATTCCCATAAAATTATAACACAGCATATTTTACTGAATATTTATATTGTTGTTGTTGTCAAGTGCTTTCAAGTTGGTTCCAACTCATATTGACCCTGTATACGGTTTCTGAAGGCAGCTGGTGGATTTGAACTGCCGACCTTGTGGTTAGCAGTGCAGCGCCACACCAGGAGTCTTAAGCATATATTTGATTACTAAAAATGATCCTAACAATATACGTTACTAATTTTAATTTTAGTGAATACAAAAGTCATTTAAGAATTGTGATCTTTTTTTATACCTTTAACCATTCTTGTTGGAGTATATCCCATTCAAAGAAAGAATCCCAGAGTAATTGTTTGAGCTTCAATTCAGCACTAACTTCTTCCAAAGCATCAAACTTGGACACTTCAACCTTTAAAAATATAATAGCAAAATACATTATTTACTTTTCAGATATAAGAATATTATGTTATATTCCTAGTAGTAACTCTTCATCAGTGACTACTTGGGAGAATGTTGGTCCTAAATGAGGAAAGAAAAGGAGAGACAGAAACAAGTTGGATCATACATGTACCTACAAACATGGCGGGGTTTTTTTATGGGGAAAATGGATGAGTCTTCAGAGGCTTATGTACTTAAATGATAGAAAAGGGAGAAGATGCTTGTGTGGTAGCTAGTGATGTTGGGGGACTGGAGAAGTTTATGATGGAGAGGACAGCCTATTTCTTCCCTTTTCCTAATCCCATAGACTGTATCTGAACCCTGTGGAGAGAAAGGTTGCAAACTAAAAAATCAATTTTCTTGTGAAGATTCGAAGACTGCCATAGCTGGGAGGTGGGAACCCCCCTAGGAAGTTGGTTACACAAACTGGGAGCACTGTGATACATTATGTTTTTGACATTAAGTCTTCCATCAAGAATTAGACATGACCAGTTATGCTCTGTTCCCCCAAAGAGTTAGATCTGAGGTGAAAGAAGAATGAGTCAAGTGTAGACATGAAGTGTGGATGAGAGAGGGACACATTTCTTCTGTTCCAGGCTCTGGCTCAAGCAATGCTATTCTTTCTTGTCCATAGAGTTATTTTTAACTCTTTTAGATCAAACAATAATTCTTCTTTACCTTGCCAACTGTGTATCCTTCTATCATATAAGTCAGTCAACTCAACTTGGGAACAGTTTGAACCCTGGTTCTTTCGCACACCATCGCCTGCCCCAAACATGGTAGCAGCTGCACTGCCTGGTGCTAAATTCATTATTATGCAGATTTCTCTTCCAGAGTCTTGGGATTTATTTCAAGCAGACAGCTCCTCAGAACACTCTGGGGCAATCCATCTGGGGCTCTGGAAGAGACAGAGCAGAGCATGCCCACACCAAGTCCAGGCACACAACTCTGAGACTTTTGGGGAAACTAACAACACATCCCTCATTTGAACCTTTGACTTTGACCCTAGGAATAGTCTCTTTTCTTGTTAGTCTCTTAAAGTAGTCCAGAGTACCTGCATTCCTTCCCACTTTCTCTTCACTTTCACAAAGCACATCTTTAAATCTGTCCAACCTACCCTTTGGCTCATCAATACTCTAGCTTAGTTGAAGATCCCTTCCTTCACCAAACTGGCACATTAAACTGGAGAAAATTGTACAGTGCTCATGGATTCATAGCACAAACATGAATGTAAAAGATACTTGAATTTTATATAAGAAAGAACAGTGGGGCTTTAACTGACCACCTTTAAAAACTCATAACACATTTTAACGTTGAAACTACAGTGCCTGGTCTGACAGTTTTCCATACTTCACAATTATTTTTTAATAAGAAATATACACCAATCTACAAATACTTCAAAGGCAAGGGCATGTCTTATATTGTGTCTCAGTCTGTTTTTAGCACTATAGTAAGAACACAGGTAGGTATTCAGCACTGAACATTTACAGTAACAGTGATGAAAGTGTTTGGCATGAATTCCACCTTCTATGTACACATGTTAAAAACAGATGTGGAGAGCTGGCATCACCTTAAAATTCTTCTGATAGGATTTGTATTGAAATGCACGCTTTTGAAGATCATCTAGAACCACTTGCAGATCATCCAACATGGCCTTTATTTTGGATTGGTCAGCAGTTATATCCAAAATCTGTGGATCCTGTAAAATTAAGATGGCTTTTGGTTAGTAATTCCTACTTTTTGATGTAGATCAATTAAGTTAAATGAATGAGTAAATAATTTCAAACAATATTTTCCATAATTCTCACTGTACTCTTTTTTTTTTAAGGAGATAAAATATGTCAACTTGTTTGCCTTTCTTGAATTTTAAAGCAATGTATGCCATAAAAAGTACAGCAGTGTCTCAAAAAAGTTGGCATGGGCCTTACAGTGTTTTAAAAGACAAGTAGTATCTAATGTGTTTTCTCTCATCTGCCTTCATTGTCTACATTTCTTCAACAAACCCAATTTCAGGGAAAGGGTGTAAATGTAACAGGGAAGAGAAGGAAGAGCGTATGATACATTTTCTTTTTTTAAAAAAAGGAAGCGGGAAGTCCTTTGAATTCTGAGAGGGAGGAAGAGAGGAAAATGAAGACTAAGTAGTCAGATTAACACAAAACTATGTTTGGTGGAATCTCAAGAAAATGGAAGAAATGTGGGACTATTACAGACAGAGCCTGGGGAGGCTGGTGATTGCACCTCTCATTCAGTGTGGTTCTGCATTCAGAATGGTAACATGCTCCAGATGATTCTTAACGTAGGAATGCTGTGTGTGAATGCACATGTGTTCTGAAGTGTGTGCATAAGGCTACACACCTCAGGCCAGAAGAGGTCTGAGATCAGAATAAGAAAGTCACAAACCACATGATGGTGGTGGTGGTGTGCTATGGAGGCTATTTCGACTCATAGTGACCCTGGGCTGTAAATCTTTACGGGAGCAGAAAAGCCTCATCTTTCTCCCATGGAACACCTGGTAGTTAAACTGCTGACCGTGAGGTTAGCAGACCTACTTGTAATCACTTGGCTACCAGAGCTCCTTAAATCACATGACACTGTAAGCTGTTGGCAGGAATGATGGGTTGCAGCAGCGATGGTGCCTAAAGAACCAAGAAAGGCCCTTAGTGAACAGCTGCCCAGGGCACCCAGATGCACTGGAAGCTGCCCTGGACCAGAGGGCAGCCTGGGAACAACATGCCCCTGCCCCCCTCCATCCACCAGGAGGCCCCGCAAATTGCAAGCTGTCCATTATGGCATAAGAGGCGGGATGGGTTGGTCTCTTAAGAACAAAGAAATGTCCGAAAAAAGAGTTTAGATTTTGAACTGAATTAACAGAGACCAAGTTAGAATGAAACAGACATTTTCATGACATTGAATAAAATTGAGTTATCATCAATCATTAAATTTCAGTTTATCTCTGTTGAGTAGGAGTGTGGGCCTTAAAAACAAGATGACATCCATCATTTAGGGAAATAATACAGTTGCAGTTCTTTACCAAGGATGATAGTAAATTAATTTCAGACCCACTATAGACTGCAAGGTCTGTTTGAACCTCAAGGTCGGTGGTTCAAGCTCACCAGTCGCTCCTAGGAAACCCTATATAGGGTTGCTATGAGTCGGAACTGACTCAACAGCACTTAACACCACCTGTAGTAGTACTTGGAGTCCTGGTGTGGCACTGCAGGATAAGCACTGGACCGCGAGGTCTATTTGAACCAAAAGGTTGGTGGTTCAAAACTCACCAGCTGCTCCTCGGAAACCCTATGCAGTGTCACGATGAGTCAGACTGACTTGACAGCACTTAGTAACACAGTAGTACTTGGGAGCACAATGGCTCCATATGATAAGCACTGGAATGAGAAACACGAAGTCCATGGTTCAAGCCTGTCAGTCTTTATATGGGAGAACAATGAGGCTTTCCACTCCTCAAAGATATAAAACCTCGGAAACCCTATACAGGGTCTCCATGAGTTGGAACCTTCTCAATGGCAATTAAACACAGTAGTACTTTAAGGAGCCCTGGAGGTGCTGTAGGATAAGCATTGGACTGCTAACAGCAGGGTTGGCAGTTCAAACCCACCAGTTACTCTGTGGGAGAAAAATGAGGATTTCTGCTCACATAAGACTTACAGCCTTGGGAACACTACACAGAGCCACTATAATTTGGAAACAGCATGATGTCAGTGGGCTTTGGGTATAGAAGTACCTGTTATGGCCCAATGTAGACAGAAGCCCTGCTGTAATTTTTGTATATGTGCTTTTTAAAATGCGTGATTACCCAGAAAGCACTGTTAAAAGCACTTTTCACCTTCTCTAGTGATCTATCTATACACACATATATTATATAAATAATTACTCATACTTATTAATAGTCTGCTGTATATCTAATACAGTATAAGTTGTTGTGGTTAAGTCCCTTTGAGACAGCTCCGACTCATAGTGACCCTGTATAGGGTTTCTGAGGAGAAACTTGTGGGTTTGAACTGCCAACCTTGTGGTGAGCAGCCCAGTGCTTATCCTGCAGCACCATACCATGACTCCAATATAATATGTAGCACAACAATTAACAGCAGACTATTAATCACTGGAAGCAGACTGCCTCGGCTTGAATCTTGGCTCCTCCATTTGTTATCTATGTGACCCTAGGGAAGTACTGGACTTTTGTTTCTGTCTCTATAAATTGTGAATAACAAAACTTCATAGATGTTCTGAGAATTAAATGAGTTAAAACATGCAAATATATGCAAGAATGTTCCCAGCAACCTCAAAGTCCACACCAACTGTGGAATGGATAATTAAATTGTGGCCGACAATGAAAGGTTATGAGTCCATAGTAGAAAAGTCAAATTCAAACTCATATCATAAGGCAGAGTAGAACTGCCCCATAGAGTTACTTTCACCTTTGAAGTGGTTGGTGGGTTTGAACTGCTGATCTTTAGATTAGCAGCTGAGTGCTTAACCACTGCATCACCAGAGCATCCATGAAATATGATACAGCACCAAAATAGCTGTAACAGTAGCATGGATGGAGATTAGGAATATAACAAAACAAAATAAAAGACATGCATCCTGTACTATTCTATTTAACAGAATTTTACAAGCAGGCAAAACTGATTTATGGAATTAGCATTTAGGGTAGTGGCTGCATTTGGAAAAGAGGGAAGGATTAGTGATTAGAGGAAATACTAAGGGGACTTCTGTTTCTGTGTACTGTCAGGTTGATTTTGACACATAGCAGCCTCCTATAGGGTTTCCTAGGCTCCCTTCTTGACAGGAAAAGATTGCCAGGTCTTTTCTCCTGGGGGGATGCTGGTGGGTTCCAACTGGTGACTTTTCAGGTACTAGCTGAGCACTGTAACCATTGCATCACCAGGCAACTTCTGTTGTTATTGTTAAGTGCTGTTGATTTGCTTCTGACACATAGCGACCCTGTATAGGGTTTCCAAGGAGTGGCTGGTTAGTTTGAACTGCCAATCTTGTAGTTAAAACTGACCTTGTGGTTCAGTGTTTTATCCCACAGCCACCACACCAGGTCTCTAGTGACTTGTAGGGTGCTCATAATTCTATTACTCTTGACCTACATGGATGTGTCTTACTGCTGATAATTCACTGAGTTGTAGAGTTCTATAGTTATGATGGAGCCCTGGTGTGGCACTGTAGGATCAGCACTAGACTGCTAACCACAATGTTAGTTACTCAGATCCACTAACAGGATTGTTAAGAGTCTGCACTGACTTGACGGCACATAACAACAACAGTTATGTGCAGTTTTCTCTGTGAGAAAATAAAAAATTCCAACACGAAAGGAAAACCAGTGGAAAATCCTTAGAATAGTACTTGGCACAGTAAGGACACAAAAAATGTCAGTTATTAAATTTCCATGTCAGCACATATATATTGTAATTTGAATGTCTGTTTTATATTCCTTTGACTGGATGTCCCCTGACACATTTTCTTAATTCTCTGTTGATAAACAACATTGAGTTTATTTCCAATTTCTATTTGATTATATATGTTTAGATAGTTACACTTCTGTGATAAGATTTCGTCAACGTTAATAGTAAAATAATAGATTATTACAAAATCATATTTTCATGTATACTTCAGATAAGAATCACTTAGATTCTTAAACTTGTTTTTAATATTCCCCGGTGTCTTTTCTATAATAAAATCTGTGCCAGTTAACCAAATGTTCTTCATTACCATTTATCAGTTTTACTCTGAGTCTTTCCAAGGGAGAATTTTCCAATATTGTGGCTAAGCAAATTTTAAAATTGTGACAATAGCTATAAAGCATGCTTGATGTTGTCAGGTGCCTTCAAGTCGGTTCTGAAGCAACCCTGGATAGGGTTTCCGAGGCTGTTTTGTTTTGTTGTTTTTTCAGTCTTTGGGGGAGCAGAAGCCTCATCTTTCTCTTGCAGAGTGGCTGGAGGACTTGAATCACAGCACTTACCATACGGAGCCACCAATGCATGCTAGCACATTGTAAAATCATTCACTTCAAAATATTAGAAGTCACCCAGGGAGAACAGAGTTCAAAATACATGTATGCTTGACTTAAAATGGTCTAGAATCTATTTGGTACATAAAGAGAGGTTCGGAAATGCTTCTAATTTTTAATACCAGCTCAAAGACATTGATAATTGATCCGAATTACACCATAAAAACAAAGGTTAAAATGAATTAAAAAATGAAATTTGCTCCTTAAGTGGTTTAATTAAAAATAACAGTAAAACTTGATAATCGTTCTTTAAAAAGCCCTGTTTTAGCTTACCTGTGCTTGCAGTTTGACTTCGCTTACTTCATTGTTGAGCTCTTCGAGATCTCTACCCAAATGCAGGCAAAATTGCTTGATTCTTGTATCTCTGTCACCCACTGATTTATCAATGGCATTTCGAACAGCAACAATGGATGGCTTCATAGTTGCAAAAACAGCGAAGTCTTCAGGAGGTGTTGGGACATGATACTGCTCAACAAGCTTGTACATTTGAACCACTATATTAGCTTCGTCTTCCAGGCTTTCAATCTAAACAGAAACATTGGGTGCTTATTAAATGTAGCATAGTCTTTACATTTGTTGTGTTTAGTTTTTAAACAGGAAAAAGCCACTGTGCACCCCGAGTACTGTGAGTCAACAGTGAATACATAAGAAGGACATTTAATGTTACAATGCAATTGGCTGAAGTCTGTGGGATGCCAAGTCATCATTGATGATGGGAGGCGTTCAGTACTGAGTGCAGTTAGCATCATGCTCATATTTATTTTCTCTCTCCCTCTCTGTCTCGCTTCATTTACTCTCTAGTAGGATTAACACCAAAACCAAATCTACCAGCATCAAGTTGATTCTGACTCACAGTGACCCTATAGGACTCCATGGGTTTTCTGAGGTTGTAAATCTTTACGGAAGCTGACTGCCATATTGCTCTCCTACAGAGTAACTGGTGAATTTGAACCTCTGACCTTTCGACTAGCAGTCCAATGCTTAACCTACCATGCCACTCTAGGCTCCTTATCTACTAGCATTAAACAGTGCAATATTTAGAATTTTCAAAGACAACGAAGTCTAGGAGGAAACAGAAGGGCTGTGGGTCAGTCTGAGCCTCTAGACATGTGCTGAGCAGTGATGGTCCCAGAGCAGCCCCTGAGATGTGGGCAGGGCGTGTTCCTTGATGTGAGGTTTATAACCCAGATCTATGGTTCTTTCAAAGGATCTCTGAACTTCCCAATATCCTTTTATAAAATCTTTTACTATAGCCTACTGAATTCTAAGCCTACTGATGTCTACTGATTACTAAGGACCTCTGATAGTGTAGTGGTTATGAATTGGGCTGCTAACCTCAGGGTCAGAAGTTCAAAACTACCAGCTGTTCTATGGGAGAAAGATGAGGCTTTCTGCTCCCGTAAAGATTTACAACCTTGGAAACCCTGTATAGGGTCGCTATGAGTTGGAACTGCCTCCACAGCACATAACAACAACACCAACTAATTTCTAAAAGGCGCTCTGGTAGCATAGTGGTTAAAAGTTGGGCTGCTAACCTCATGGTCAGCAGTTCCAAACTACCAGCAGTTCTGAGGTAGAAAGATAAAGCTTTCTGCTCCTGTAGAGATTTACAACCTTGGAAACCCTGTATAGGGTCGCTATGGGCTGGAACCGACTCCATGGCACATTATCAACACCACTGATTTCTAAACATCTTCACTGGAATGTAAATTTACAGTTGCCTGTGTATTTCTTGTCTCTCCTAATCTTTTGCCAACAGACTCCCTAATTTGAGGGACCACTCAAATGTAACTTAGTTAGACAGAGGGTACAGCCAAGCTTCCTGGTCATAAGCTGAACCAAGCAGCATCAAACTGGAGCTTAGAGAACCCAGCTCAGTTTCAATCTCTCTTTTACACAAGGGGAAAGTCTAGAGAGTCGACTTTGTAACTTTTGTTCATTTTCTTTCCATGGAAACGGAAAGCAAGTTGTTGAAATAAGAATGTATTGACAGAGAGGCTTTTAGGGAAATGGTTTTCAACCTTAAACTTGTCTGACAATCACCTGGAAAGCTGTCTTAAACACAGATTGGTGACCTCTTGCTTCTGAGGCAACAGGTCTGGGGGTGGGATCCAATGATGCATATTCTAACAAGTTCTCATGTGATGCTGCTGGATCGGGGACCACCCTTTAAGAACTACTATTCTGGACAAGAGCAGAGATGAGAGACCACTGCCTTTGAATCAGTTCTGAATAGGATGGTACAGAACGGAGTAGAACTGCTCCAAAGGGTTTCCGAGGCTGTAAATCTTTATGGGAGCAGACAGTCTCATCTTGCTTGTGGAGAGTGGCTGGTTGGTTTGAATCATCAACTTTGCAGTTAGCAGTCCAATGTTTAACCCTCATGGCCACCAGAGATCCTTGAGATGGGGGGGGGGGGATTTTTAGTTTCCTTATTTTGCTCTAGTCCCTAGTTTCTATCCTTTTTAGAGATCTTGCTCTATCTATGCCTTTGAATTCCAGACACCTCTGTAGTCTTACAATAGATTTTCCTAGTTTCATAAACTAGCGATGTGAAGTTTTTGCTACTTTCAATCAAAAGTGTCCTAGCATCTCAAACAAAATCATGGAGAGAACGAATTCTATCCTCATTAGAATAGGGTCATCTTCCTGTTTTTGCTGTATGTGTGATACACCTGTACCCAGGGTCCTCTGGAAGTGTCCTGGTTTACAGGTATTATCCTGGCATAGTAACTAATAGTCTCTTTCATTCCCCAAAATAGCCTGGTCAGACCATGAATTAGGTGGCTTGCTTATCTTTACTATTTAACGGTACCACTATCTACCCGTTCCTTTTAGAAAGATACCTAAGCGTCAACTTGGACTCCTTCAATTATCCGCTAAATTCTTTATATTTTAGTTATATCTCTAGAATCCATTCTCTGTCTCCTATCTTAACAATACTACTTTAATTACAGTTCATCAGCTTTCTCCACCAAACACCTTTTCTCCTTAGTACAGCAAGCACCATGGCCTGCTCACATCATGCTTCCTCAGGCCTTGCACATGAATTTTCCTACCTATAGAAGGTCTACCCAAATGTTTAGATGCTCCTTAAAACATAACAAATAATCCATCCTCTGCAAAAAAACTTCTGTGGCTCATAGGCAAAGGTCACCACAAATGCCCTAGTCCTTTAACAGTGTCTTGTATCTATTCCCATTTCTGTATTAATCACGTTGTAACAAATGTCTGCTCTCATTATCAACTATGTGGATCCCTGAAAACAGGTTTGCTCATTGTCACCAGCCTTGCTGCTGCTTAGTTGGGGCTTATTAACTTTGCTGAATGGGTAAATATCCAAGACAAAGCTTGCTCATGTGCATCTCTAGGGAGGCTGCTTCTCCAGCACATCATCCATAAATGCACAGATAACATCTTGAAGCACAGTTTGGGTATTCTGCATGGCACATTGATTCTCTTGTCCTAGAACCAAAGGTGACAGCAGTCTACCATTCACAGCCATTGTGTAAAATGTGATCTCACCTTCCTGTCAGTTTATAGGACAAAAGAGGGAGCCTGAGTCCATTTACTAGACATTTAAAACTGCTAAAATGAGATTCTCTTTCTCATGGTGACTGGCCAGACTTGCAGTGTATAACTTGGGAGCTGCTTGTGGGATGAAGAAGTAGAAACAGCTAGTTTTCTGAGGGAGAAGCCAAGAAGCAAAGCAGATAGAGTGATGCAGAGAGAAGAAATGGAAAGAGAGGAATACCTGGATTGCCTCCCGCTTCCCCATTCTTGATTCAATTCAGTTCCAAAACCTAGCTAAAGTCTTGACAGGGGATTCCATGAAACATCTTGAACCTTTAAATAGGGTCCTCCTTTTGACTTAAGCTAGCTAAAGTGAGTTTTGGTGTTTGTCCAAAAGAGGTTAGTTATTGTTGTTTTTAGGTACCACAGAGTTGGATATGAATGATTGAACCCCATGAACAACAGAACAAATCACTGCCCAGTCCTGGGCCACCCTCACAGTCCTAGCTATCCTCGAGCCCACTGATGCTGCTACTATGTAAATCCATCTCATTGAGAGTCATGCTCAGTTTTGATGACCCTCTGCTTTACCAAGCATGATGTCCTTTCACAGGAACTTCTGCCTGCATTTCTTCCAAGATAGATTTGTTCCTTCTTCTGGCAATATTTGGTACATACTTAGCCAATACTATAATTCAAATGCATCAATTGTCCTTCAGTGCGTCTTATTCACTGTCCAGCTTTCATGTGCATATGAGGGGACAAAAGACA